TTTCGCAGCCGTAGCCTCCTGGGACAAGGTATATATATATATATATATATATATATTTTTTTTTAGCAGTGATAGGGTCCAACACCCAGGCTTGCAGAAGCCCGTCAAGTGTGAGATTGACACCATACTATGACCATTGATACTTACAAACCGCCTCGAAGTCATTCAGCTATTCGTTTGAATTGAAGAATAGCCATGCCAAGAGGTGAGTTGCTCAAACACAACAGTGGTTTTGTCAAAGGGAAAGAACTTTTATAGCTGTGTGTGAACGCCAATTCTACAAGCCAATACTTGCCAAACGCAATAAACACACATGATGTGAATAAAGAACAAATAATCTTACTCGTTATGATCGTTGTCATTTTGCAACTCTCAGCATTGAGACTTTGCTCAACGCGAGTTGCTTAGAGACATGGCCTTGGGATCGTCTGTACAACATCACACCCCCGCATGTACTATGTATAAGCAGGAAACCCTACACAAGTTGCCTATATGCTCATGCCCAGCATTGATGTGCGTCACTGGGAGACTTGACGGACATTTTCTAAAACGAGGAGACCACTCAGTGGCCCGTGAAAGCAAGCTCATCTGGCTCATGTGCTGCGATCATAGCGGGAGAAGCAAAGACATCATTCTTGGCGCTGGCAATTAGCCCCCTAGCGTGAGTTGATCGGACCCTGACTTCGAGTCGCGATGTAGTAGGGTGGGACGGCAACCTGACTAGCTTGATGGACCACTTGTAGCGGCAGGTTGTAAAAGTCGGTGAAGGGATTGAGTCTTTTTGAGAGTGAGGGGAAAGTTGAGCAGGCACCAGCCAGAGGGACATGCAGAGGAAGCAGGTGGTGGATCTCGACGGGCTTCGTCAAGCTATTAGTGAAGAATGTGTACTGCCATACAGAGTACTCAAGCCCATCAATGATGCCTTATAGAGACAGTGCTTCAGGTTATCTAGACTTGGGAAGATGACTCAACGCCAGCATGGTTATACATTCATAGCTCTCCAGCACCAATCGTGTTATTGGCTGTATTGTGTTGGGGTTGTAAGACAATAAGGCGAACGAAGTTATTCGGAGTTGAGTGGAAATGGTGCCTGATAAAGACGTCGCAACTCTGACATTCACAACCACAACCCATCGGCAGTGGCTCAACTAGTGGTTCCCCCATGTGCAACAGCGCCGCTCAGGGTGGATTTCGTACCGACCAAGCCGAGGGTCTTTATGACCCCCATCGTCTCTCTGCTTTTATTCAGAACGGTTGATGCTGATTGGTTTCGATGGCATCATATCCCAAGACGCTACTGCGAGAGGTCAAAGGGAAGCATGACGCCAGTCGCACCACGGACCAAGGCCATGACTGTCTAACGATCGGTTCCTAGTCAGGCTCCATCAAGTAACATGCGAAATCCATCATATTTGGATACCATGGTCAGCCACTGCGATTTCCGTGTAATTGGCCTCTTATTAGCAATGTCAGTCAGAGGTGCGAATCAGCTTAGAGCCCACGAAGAGCCGGGTGGAGGATTTATTGGAAGCGGTGAACGAAATTAGGCTATGGATCGTCATGTGTCAACTGTCTGTGGCGGATGGCTGACGGCTATACTCCGTAGATGCTGTCGAAATAGAGTGGCAATATGAGGCCCAACCTAATATTGACAGTTTGTGCTGGAACGGACCTGTCAGATTGATACAAGCAAAGCTCCCATGTCTCGGCGTTCCTGGTCGATGCATCAAGGGCAATCTGGGGACATGTTAGTTTGGGCTTCTGCAGTTCAGGATGGGATGGGTTTTGGGTGACGTGCAGGAGGGATAGCAACACCAACCAATCGGCGGAGTATATTGGAGGGACGGGGATGTGCGCTTGGTCCATGTCTTGTAGTGCCTCTTGGAGACCGGGGGGCTTCGAGATATCAATTATTGTCAATTGATGAGGAGAGGTTTTGGTGGGTTGACACGATTGAGGCAAGTTTCTGTCAACTGGCATTCATAGAATCTGTATGCCTTGGCCTCCAAGCTCTTCATGTTGCAGGCTCTTGAATATCTCTGGGACTGATTTGCTACTTGACTCTTCCGAGTCTGGGGGAGGTTGAAAAGGAATTCTAGGATAGGCTAGAGTGTTATTACAAACCGGTCAAATCCTGGTAGACGCAGAGGTTGAGGCTTCCTGTTCGTAGGAGGGGAAGTGCATGATCCAATGGGAGCCTCAACTAGGCACGCATATCTCCTCCTCACCCTGCAGATTCATGCTTGTCTCACAATTTGTAGTGTGAATCTTTTGAGTAGTGCGGGATATCGGCGAGTGATCGTCTAGTGCAACATTTACACAGGTCAGGAGGGATAAATACTCCGATAAATACTCGCAGGTTGAGAGACACTCACGATGGTCTCAGTGGAGGTTCTTCACCATTGTAATAAGCTAACGTGCCGCTGCCAGGGACCTTGACAAGCCATGATGCACAATCCTTGCAACCCTCCATGCTCATATCTACCTGCGCTTCAATGCACGATTAGATCCGAGGCCTTCATAACTAAGGCTAGCTACAATATGTATAAATCAGTCAAATCTCTTCTACGAATATGAGTCAACTATACTGTATTTTGTGTATAAATATCTGGCTGTCTCAGCTGACATGACTGTCTCAACATACGATGCATCCCTCAGCACATATCCAAGCATTGTACAACACCCTGCTCATGCCATAGCCCACCTCAAAAGGCATTGTGTGGGTTCGGACGAGAAGAGCCCGAGGGTTATTCGACTATCCGCAACAACGACTATTACATTACACTACTAGACCCAGACAAGCTTCAATGACTGAGCTGTTATACGCAAATTTATAAGCACATTTGGACCCTTCACTCTCAGTTCTTCTGGAATAAAGCCGACAGACCAATTGGACTCGACCATCGCTAGTTGATGTGCCTAGCCGTTGGAAGAAGTGGACATTGTATCCATCCGCCATCCCTCCCTCCCGTCCCCTGGAGATTTGGCTTTTCTGTTCTGATGGTGCCTGACTTGGGTCCCACTGATGGTATCGTTAGTGGTTTCTTGGGCTCTGATGGACCAGACGCAGTTCTTGAAAAAAAGTTTCATGTGAGGTGTCTTGCGTGGGTGTGTGTGTGTATGCCATGTATGCAAGTTACCCGCAACTCCAGTACGACGCTGGCCGAGGTGTATGTGTTAGACCTGGATCAGAACAATCAGCCTCACTATTGAGTAATACAACCCCTGATTGAACATGATTTCTTGTTTCGTTGACCGTATATCATCAAATGTTTGTTGGTTTGTATGTAACCGAAAGTATATAGTTTATAAACACAATATTCGGCGTTAAATAAATATGAGAAACTTTAGTTCCCAAACAATGGAAACCTTGCATATCCCTGCTGCTCTTTGCCTCATCCTTAACCTGTAACCGACCAAACCCTGCGACTTGCCTTTACTGTACGGTACTGTCCGTGAGGCCCTGTCTTGTGTCCACAAAGACACGCGCCGACCTCTAAGCCGAGCGCCAAACACCCGCGTTAGGCCAATCTTTTAGGTCCCCATTGTCAACTGGACACTTGATATATTTTTCTCCTTCTCCTCTACCGTAATCGCCCTCACATCAACCTCGACTATCTATCTACTGATCGCAACTTGCTTCCTCTCCTCCAAACCAGCTTGTCGCTCCTGGCTTCCAGGGCGCGCTGTGAGAGAGAAAGCCTGTAACTATATTAAATCGTTGTATCACCACCAAAGACACGTGCCAAGTGTCTCTTGTACGATTGATTGTTTACTCCTGTGCATTGATTGCCATTTCAATTTCAAATCCAGGTTGGTTCATCTTTTTTGTCTAGAGCCTCCGTCTCTGGTTCGTCAAGGCAGGCACCTACCTCTCCGAAGGAAGGAAACCAGAATAACCGTACCTCCCATCTCCCCACTCCTGTTACTCACTCGCTCTCCTACCCTCTCTCAAAGACATCAGCTCCAAGGCGTGTTGCCTGTAATACCACAATTGTTACTATATCATCTTATTACTCCGTTCCGTTCTGTCCTGTCGGGTTCTATCGCCTCGTCTTCAGCCAAGGGTACCAAGCATAGCGCGGCGGACACAAAATACGCACCCGACATCCCGCACCGCACCACGAATCATCCACCGCCGCCGGCAACATAGTGCAATACCCATCCATACATATTTCACTTTGGCAGAAAGATATCCATTCACATCGCGGCACGGCACGCCAACTTGGTATAGATCGTACGCCCATGCTACCTTAATTCCGACAAGACGGCCAAACAACAACTCCTCCCCGCTTGCTTTTGCGATGGTTATTTGCTTGCAGAAAATAGAAGACCGACAGGGACCGTGACAGAGTATGAAGATTATAATCCCCTGCTGTCCTTCCTCTCTTTCCTGGCCATGATCATTCCTACAAATGTTGTCATCCCACGTTTCATACCACATCCTAGTTGCACCATTCCGAATTCAACGCTTCAACTCCGAGCTGTGCCTCTGCCTCCTTGTCCACGGCATCGTTGTGGCCCGCGTGGCTTGAAGCTCTATCATCACTCTTCAGCAAGTCTTACCCATCCATCCTCTCGACATCTTGAGCTCCTCTGGGTCCTCATGAGTTCTGTATACTGTACAGTTCGCATACAATCCCGGCTGCCTAAGATCGCACTGCCTTAAGCACACAGGCCACTTCAGTTCTAGTCTGAGGTGTACCAAACCCAGCGCCCACCAACACCCCTGTGTTGCTTCAGGAAGCCAGCCCCAAAAGACACCCCCCATTCACAGGGCCTTACCCACACTGACCACGTCCACCCCGCCTCTCAACAACGTTCCATCCACTACCTACCTCGTCTCTTTTTGCACTTTCTCTGCTTCATCTTACACCTTATCGTCTATACAAACGCGGTAACTGATGCTCATCTGTTTCTTTCATGTCTTTAGTATTATAGGCTGAGACCGCTTGCCAATTCGGCGTGTACTATCTTTATCCTGTATCTATTAGTCCATCATGGACGAACTACGCTTTCGCTCCCAGCAGTCCCCGCGGGGCAACGACCAGTCCATGCATTCGTTTGTCTCACCTACTCGAAATGCCTCCAGAATGCCTGCCCCCCAAGTCAACCCTCATGTCGGCGCCCACGACCATCGATCTGGCCTGCCTCGCCGCTTCACCACCGATTCTGGTCGAGTCCCGACACTATCCTCTCTGGGTGCTCAACGGGTACCCGAATCCTCCCAGGACTATAATGTGAGTAATCAACATATGACGAATCTGTCGCTTGCTTGGAATTCGACAGGGCTTCGGGTGGCTTGGTTTCGTGATGGATTACGAAAGTTGCCAATCCCCGTAGTAACAGCGAGTACTGACATGTGTGATGGTAGGCAATGCACAAGGTGCAATTGGTACGTTTTGATGCTCGTATTTTCCGCCTGGGTTTGCCCTCGAATTTGCCAGTTGTTCAAGTTGGATCTGAGCACTCGAATCCGAAACGATGCGATACCAACCAACTCAAGATACGGTCGTTAACTAATGATAGACTCAGATCGAGAAGAAGAAGATGGAGTATGAACGAATCCGGGAGCAAAGGCGGAGGTTTGAGCTCGAGATGCAAAAGCTGGATCAACAACAAAGACGAGAGGCTTTGGAACTTGCTCAGATGGAGGAGGAAGTCGGTAGAATGGGTGGCCACCAGTCCGAGCCCACCACACCCCCCGAATACCGAGACAACTCTGGATTCCCTACGTTTTTATCACGACCGAGTCGATACTCAATGTCTAGCTTGACCTCCCCCCGGGTCTATTCAACCGCCCTGTTAGATCAGGCTCGCAACTCGCTTCACCCCAATCCGGTATCAGACAGGCACGCTTTGGATTTGAGGATACTACGACCCAGATGCCTTCTCGTTCTGTCCCAACTACGCGAAGAAACAGTGATGATGAGAAGGAGGAGGCTGTTCGACAAGATCCTAGCAGTCATCGTTCTGGTAATGCGTAAGTGACAGCTCCTACCGCATGTCCATGTCTTTCTTTTTGTGAGCGAGCACCCGTTCAAGTGGAGGTTGCCATTAGAGCTCTTGCAAATCCAGCTTCGGACCTTGCTGTAAACTGCCACAGAAGCAACCTGGCTAGAGTTTTTTGTTTTTCTGTGTTGGAAACCTCTCAGCGTGAATAATGCTGTTATTGGTGGGTGAATCTTAACTCTGAGCCAAAATAGGAGGGCTCTGAATTATGTGAGGACTCTCTAGTGAGAAGGCAAAAACCTCGCATAATTCAAACAGTGATTCACTCTTGAAGAAAGCTTCGAGAGGAGTATATAATCCTCTCTTTGAACCTCTGCTTCGGCTCCAATCAACTCAACCTCCACAACGCAACACAACTCCATCCATCACATTCCAATTCCTTAGACTGTCGTTCTTCCTTCAGTCACAGCCACTCTCATCCAACTCAGCAAAACCTAGCATCAAGCGGTCCAGAAATCATCAAGCAGAGCTAACCATGAGCTTCGACGATAGAATCAACCGGTACTCGATGCCTGTGACGCGTTCACGTACGGGGATGTATGATGTTGGCCTTGATCAAACAAATACTACTCGATTTCTTTTTGGCGACGAGGAGACAAATGCTGGAGGCCATAGTGGTCCTGACGCAAACTTCCCAACTCTTATTCGTCACGACGATCAGATTGTAAGTTTTTTTCATATTACATTTTCCATCTGAACAACATTTCGTCTAGCCATTTCGCCCTTTTGATTTAGAGTCAACTCTGCGGATGCTTGGTGGTGAGACTATATATTGGAAGTTATTGCTCTGCTCCAACTTCTCGACTTACACCCAGGCTCCACATTTCTCCATAAGGTGCATATTCACCTTGAGCTCTCCTTCGAACATGCGCCCATTGTCTTTCAGCATTTGCTCTCCTGCATAGAAGCCTCCTCCACTTTCCTGCATAAGGCCCATTCAATTCCCTTTCCCTGCTGTTTTCCTTTGGCGCAATAAGATCTTGAGCTCTCGACCTCTCTCTATTCGAGCGCCCCACCACAGAATCTATATTGTTGTACTATTGTTGCGTCGAATTCTGACCCACAACTTTACTCTCAGCTCTCAGCGTCCTCGGCCGCCCTAGATCTTGCCCTATCCCCGTCTCCTAATCCCGAGGCGACATCTTCTTCAAGAGGTTGGAGCCGTGTTGTTAACCGTCATCGCCCTCAGCAGAGTCTCTCCTCGCTCAACGGAAGCTCCAACATCGTAAGCGACCTTGTTGGTCTAGCATCTCGACCTACTACTTCCCTCCGCCATTCTATCGACCTAAAGTACATCTCAGAAAACGCAGTTGAGACTGGTGCCATCATGTCTCCTACGGCGACTCCCAACATGGCGACTCCCCCTAAGCTGCAGAGTTCGTATTCTTCGAGCGATGTTCCCACGGTCAAGAGCCCTGGGACTTTGTCTTCCAAGACCAACAATCATGCCCAGCAGCATTTCCACAACCATAATGCTAGCCTTGGCCGTATCCCGGCTGGCGCGGTCCATCGTGGCCACAGCCGGGAGCTCTCTTCAGAAAACCCTGCTGTTAGCCGTGAGCAGCCCAACTATCCTTCAATCCAGTCTGCTCTTCAGGCCAGTGCCGCTCCCTTTGGGCCCAGCACCACAGCTGCAGTGCCACCTTCTGCTATGGTGAACCCTTCAGCTGGCGCCGCAGCCGCGAACAATAGCTACAACAACAATGGGTTCTATCCCGTTAGCGGGTACGGTGCTCCTCACGGTGTTCCTCAAGGCGGCATTCCCCAGGGTATGCACCAGGGTGCTACCCATCAGCCAGGAGGATATAATGTCAATATGCTCGCGAACAGTATGCAACAGATGAACATGAATGGGGCCAACGGCAGCAACATGTACCAGCCTCAGAACTACAACGGCTACAACGCCGGCCCCTACAACCAGGGTAACCAGCCTCGAGACAGCCAGGCACGCGTCATTCAGCATCGCCGACAGCTTGACAATGAAGGTGAGTTTGACATCAGAGTAGTTTCGCATCAGCACAAACTGACTTGCTTTGCAGCCATGTCTCGCTACCAGAATACGCCTCTTGATTCCTTCGTGGGCAACATCTATGAGCTTTGCAAGGACCAGCATGGCTGCCGTTACCTCCAGAAGAAGCTTGAGGAGCGCAACGCCGATCAGGTTCACATGATTTGGGTCGAAACCAACCAGCACGTCATTGAGCTCATGACGGACCCGTTTGGTAATTATTTGTGCCAAAAGCTCCTTGAGTTCTGCAATGACGATGAGAGGACTCTTTTGATTCAAAACGCTGCCCAGGACATGGTCCGCATTGCCCTCAACCAGCACGGCACACGCGCACTCCAGAAGATGATCGAGTATGTGAGCACCCCTCAGCAGGTTCACATCATCATCGAGGCACTTCGCTTCCAGGTTGTGGAGCTCATCCAGGACCTCAACGGCAATCATGTCATTCAGAAGTGTCTTAACAAGCTTACCCCCCCTGATGCCCAGTTCATCTTTGACGCCGTCGGCAACAACTGTGTCGAAGTGGGCACTCACCGACACGGCTGCTGTGTTCTTCAGCGCTGCATCGACCATGCCTCTGGCGACCAGAAGCTGTGGCTTATCCAGCGAATTACCGAGCATGCACGAATCCTTGTCCAAGATCCCTTCGGCAACTACGTCGTTCAGTACATCATTGACCTGAACGAACCTCTATTTACCGAGCCTATCGTTCTCACCTTCAAGGATTGTATTACTCAGCTGTCCCGCCATAAGTTCAGCTCCAACGTCATTGAGAAGTGTCTGCGCTGCGCCCAGCCCCCTTCCAAGGACCTGATTGTGGAGGAGCTACTACGCAATCAGGAGATGGAGCGCCTCCTCCGGGACTCATTCGCCAACTATGTCATTCAGACTGCTCTGGAGTATGCTACTCCTCATCAAAAGCATCGCCTTGTAGAAGCCATTCGCCCAATTCTTCCCCAGATACGAACAACTCCCTACGGTCGTCGTATTCAAGCTAAGATCTCGGCCTTCGACAACCGTGGAAGCGCTGCCTCCAGCGGGCAAGTGACACCAGCCGACAACACCCAGGGTCAAATTCCTATGCGCGCTACTCACGCTCGAGGTATTCCTGGAAGTGGCCCTATTTTGCAGGGCAATGGTATGCCTCACAACGGACCCATGCCACCTATGCGCCAGAACATGCCTGTCTACTCTCCTAACCCCACCATGAACGGTCAAGTTCCTACTGCTGGCGGACCTGTTCAGCAGCCTCAGTATGGACAGATGACCCCTGGCAATTTTGCTCCCAACACTGCTGCCAACGGTGCCGCTAACGGCAGCGCCGGTAACAGTAGCCTTGCTGGCCAAGTTGGTGGCAACAGCGGCTCTACAAGCCCTACCAATGGCAATGGAAATGTCAGCACGGGTCAGGGTGAACAGCCTCAGTGGGTTTAGACTTGTGTCTTGACATTTTTATAGACTTGCTTGTAAAATGACGTTCATTATGGCTTTCAGTGGTACCGCAAGGTCGGCACCGCCATGATTCACGATTTTCCTTTGACCTGTTTCACCACGTCTCAGAAGCATAGCCAAAAGGGCGCAGGCCCATCGCGATCGATTGACACGACGGCCTTCAGGGCCTTGTCGTGTGTACATTATGAAAAGGGCGCTACAGGACTACAGCCACTAATCCTGGGGCCACTTCTTTTCGTGTGCTTTCTCTTAGGGAGAATGGCTGCGCACATGAGGGTATGGGTATCACGATTAGGGCGTGTACGTGTACTTGGATCGACGAAATCACAATCATCAGACATCGGCATAGACGACTCAAACCTTTTCGGGCCTATTGGTTTTCTTTCCCCGTTTGCTTGCGAATTCGACTCAGGAACGATTCATGTTTGGGTTGTATGATTTTAGGGAAACGATGATTTATTGCTTTCTACTGGGGAATAAGAGGTCCTTGTGGAGGTGCCAGTCTGTTGGCCTGGGAGAGGAAGGAACCCCTACCTGTATTTAGACTAGGTCTTTAAATCAGGGTTTGCTTTAACTCAAATGGCTTTTGATATGTGATTCTCTTGGCTATGTTCGTGATTGCTTTTCCAATACTGTCAGTCAGGGTTGCAGAGGTAACATTCTCCTTTTCCATGATACAAAGGATATTCCCAGTCATGAGATCAGTATAGGATATGACTGACCTTGAATGGTTCCTTCTAGTTAGACGATAGTTGACTGATGCATGATCTCAGCCGAGCATACCATCGCCTCTTCTACAATGTCTAGGATACGTGCTTAAAAAGCAGGCCAACCTTTAAGTCCTTGATTCTTGCCGAGACAGGCGATTCGCTACGTTCGGCGACAACCTACAATATAGCACTTGTAGGAACATCTCGTAGCAAGCTAGACAAGGTACATATATATGACTTCGTTGCAAATATCAACAACTGTAAATTCACCACTTTCAATGCTTACACCTAGGTGTCCCGATATAAAACATGAGCCCCTTTAACTCCATGCAAGAACCACGACCACGCTATGCAATGAAATATGTACGATATAATGATCAATAATCACTCAATCTAAGCTTCTTTCCAATGTCACGACGGCGAGCCTGAGCAGCTGCAGCCCTGTCTGAAGCGCGCGTATCGGTCGACTCAAACTGTTCATTGCGAGCCTTGAGAGCTTGCAAAAGCATACCAGCATCGAAGAAGCCATCTAGTTATCAAATTAGTACATCATCTTGAGAAGACTTGAAAAATAAAAGGAGAAACTTACATCCGCCCATTTCATCATCTTCACTAAAGGTGCTACTCTCGTTGGTGGGAGACGTAGTGCCAGTCGCAGATCGCAGGCTCTCAAGAGCGGTGATGGGACGTCCTCGAGACTTGATGCGGCTCACGAGCTTGGGCCTCTCGAATTCCACCTCGCGAGCGCGGCTCACCTTTCCTGTTGACATCTTGCGGTTATCGATGCGTAGAATGCGACGGACCTCAAGAAGATAGCTCTCAAGGGTGTCAACAAAGCGTTTTGTCTGACGGTGTTTGCTAGCAACACAAATAGCGAGTCCTTCATCCTTGATAATATATCCGATACCAAAACCATCCCCTGATGTAGGACCGAAACCGAACTGGCGAAGACAAGGGTTACCACAGTTGGAAGTCGAAAGGATTGTGTTATTAAGCTTATCCCATCCAGAATCGGCAAACAGAAGAGGAAGTGGGTTCTGGTCGCGCGATCGAGAGTTGACGCTGTAGCCGCGATCTCGTGTAGGCCTCACTTCAACGCCATCAACAGAAGGGAGCGACTCGTTACCAGGGCTTCCCACAGGCGATCCTGCTTGATCTGAGTATCCATCTCCCGGACTAGAGTAACCATTGCTGTTGAAACCACTATCAAGGTCATCATCCAAGCTCCTCTGCCATACAGAGAATAAAGCGTAGAGATGTCGGTCACAACCTTCGGCCTTCAAACATTGTCGGGTATTTGCGGTGTGCTTCTGGCAGGCCTTCCTGAGTGCCTCAATTTTGGCATCGACAGGATTATCAGCCCAGAAGGCTTGGACAAAATCAACAACCTCTGACGACACGGTTCTGATCGCCTCAGTCCGACCGTGTAGGAACGTCTTGGTCATGGCTGGTTCGTATGTACACTCGACGCGACCATAAAGCCCATAGTATGCAGCTTGGAAAGCCATCTGAACGAAGGCATCTGGAGAGAAGCCCATGGAAGTGATGAAGTTCTTTCCATAGTGGCCGAAGTCCAACGTCTGGAACTCGTTCTGCTCAATGAGATCTGCCAATCGAGTCTCTGCAAAGCGAACGGCGACGCTGAGCTCAGGGATCATATCCCACTCCAGCTTTCGAGGGGTGACACTGACATCTCCAAAACTCTCAGGGTCGCGCTTAGAGGGATCGGGACTGGAAGATGCCCAGAGCGAAGGAGCCATGCCATTGATTGTGCGGGCGAATCGAAGAATCGTATCTGTATAAACATCACTGGCGAATCGCAGAACTGTGTGGCCGTCGACACCGGTATGCTCAAAGTTGATGCCGGCACTTCCGTTCTTGCAAACAATGATTTGAAGCTTGTCGTACCACCGGTTGGTACATGTGCCGATCTGAACACCTTTCTCTATCTCGCTGGTACCGCAAAGCATGTTCTGGCAAAGGGCTGCAGCATCTGCGGGCTCTGTGTAGTCGAGACAAAGGACGAAGAGGGCCGTGTCTACGATTCCGAGTGAATCCGCATTGTTGGAACCAGGCTCGCTGGTCAGGACATCTCGAAGGCCTGACCAAACCTTGCGGTTCTCAGTGCTCAGAACTCCCACAGCTCCTTTCGCAGCGTCTTGGATAGGAACTTGAGTCGCATCATCGACAATGGTCTGCAAGTTGATTGAGATATCCTTCTCGCTCATAATGACATCTGAGTTATCATCCAAAACATCGAACCAGTAAAATTGGCCGTGGCACATGACGACAATGTGTTTCGACTCAGGATCTTGCTCGATTTGGCATCCTTCCTCAGTGGGAACTCGTGCAGTGCCAAAGAGCCTCGAGAATTGGTACATGCAAAGAGGGGTTCCCTTGACCTTGTCTGGAGCAAGCTCTTCCTTTCGTACCGCACGGACGAACTCAAGTGATGAAACGACCAGAGAAGCAGCACGAGTCACTTGATCATTACGAGCGGGAGTTGGGTCATCTTCAAGCAAGAAGAAAGGGTTCAAGTTAAGGACAACTGGGTTATCAAAGTTGAGATAAGAATCATACCCTATGAAAGTTAGTATTTTGCTATAAATCAGACGTGGTATTCTGACATACAGAATTGTTCGATGTAACTCGTCTTTCCCTGAGCATATGCCTTCAATTTCTCCTGTAGCTCGGGGCCATCGCTCTTCAGGAATTCGTTTACGGCATGCTGTGTCTCTGCATGTTCCCGGGCTGTCTGGAGCGGCTTGAGAGCTTCAAGATACCGCTTGCAGGTGGCCTCGAGTTCAGGGATGGGAAGCTTGGGTAGTTTATCCTGCCCAGAGAAAGTGATGCCACCGTCTTTCCTTGACTCGTTGTAATTGGCCATTGGAACACGGGTATAATCGCCGCTAAGTCTGGGAGGAGATCTGCGTCGTGGTTGAGCAAGTTCGGGAATATCGGGAAGAGTTCGAGGAACAGTAGAACCAGCAGGCTTTGGTGCGGAAGTTGGGTCAGAGAGCCTGTCTCCAAGAGGTTGAGGAGGAGTGAAAGTGCGGACTTGAGTCATGGTGTTAGTCGGGAGTGATGGAAACGAATTCTAGGCGTAGAGAGGTGACACGCTTGTGCTAACGTTGAGTCCGCGAAGAGCGGTTCGGTAGAAGTAGTGACAGTCCTCTTGAAGGAAGTAGTTTGGCATTAGAAGTGCTTTCTTGAATGGGAGGAGATGAGTGATGAATACAATAGCCAAGACCAGCCAAGTTGAGAGGGCATATGGCTCTGATATAAGCAGAGTATTGTGACCGAGCTGACTTAGACAAGAGTCAAGTGGACCCTACATGCACCCCATGCACACCCTCTGGACTTCACCCTCAGTGTGTGATAGACTGGGGTAGCCGAACGTGAGGGAGAGCATCTTGGGGAGTGAAAACAGCCGACGGCTATGATAGGACAAGAAGGCCCAGGACGGGATTTGGCAGTATGAAACGCCTCCGCAAGTCCGATAACAACAGGTGCTCAGTGCCGAAACGTGGGATCAGGGAACATCGAGGCAAACGGGTCTGGCATAGAACTTACCTAGAACGGGAGACACTGTTCAGTACAGAAAGGCGAGAAATCCCCGAGTGACGAGAGCCGGTGAAGATGATATCGGTGCCGGATTTGGAGCCCGTATTGTGATGGTTATAAGGGGATAAGACCGGGATGAAGACAATGAGGCTACCAAGTAATGAATCCTGTAAGGACAACCGGGTGGCATGCAGAAGCGAAGGAGGTGCGGTACCTGGCTACGTAGTAGACTAGAGCCTACGAACGGTTCGCCACGACGCGTCGCTGGTTCTGAGTGTGAGTTTACCGTTACGGACGTTTCCCGAACAATAAAGTGATAAGGTTGGTGCTTCGGACGACGGGATGTACAGAATATGGTTACCAGACACAACCGTGACGACAAGTAGAGTTGATAGATCGAAGCCTAGACCGGAAAGGATCCACTATCAAAGGCAGTTGGAGGTAAATAGAGTGCTTTTGACTGGCTGAATATGGTATATCTTCAACGCTTCCACAAATGTCGCAACGGGGAGTAACCGGCGATCAAAAGACGGCAAAAAAAGCTTTGAAACCCCGGATTTCAGTAAGCGGCTCTGAGGGGAAACCGCTCACTTGGGGTCATCTCACGTGGCAAAAAAAGCAATTGTACTCTCTGATCGATTGTCTTTCCTTCTGCATGCACGCGGTGTTGGAATGTCCCAAAGAGACCGTCGAGCGCTTGTGTCTAATGGTCTGGTGTCTCTTATCGAATTTGAAGGTACGTGGTGCACCATGGTTAAGTGTCATGGGTGAGCTAAAGTGGGCGCCTCATGGAGAGCAGCAAATCGCAGCATCATGTGCCGCACTTGCAGGCTGGGCTGACGATGGTTAGCGAGGCTCATTCTTTCATTATTTCTTTGCTTCTTAAATGGTCAAGAAGAAGCGTATTGTCTAGGCAAGGAATATGCTGCGTCTTCTAGAAGTCGTTTGTGATACTTGAACTGTTCCTTTCCACAATCTTCTGCTTTTCTTGGGGCCATCCAGGTGTAAGAGAGTTGCCTAAAAGAGCTTGTGATGCTTTTCGGTGTGCGGCAAGAACAGAGCACATGCCGTGGGCGAACGACAGACTGGAAACCTACGATTGCCTGTGTAAGCTAAACAAGTGTGTGATTTTCCGGGGTCACTTGACATTCCCGAGGGCCAACGGAGCCGGCTGTCGATGGTTTTGGCAGTCTGGATCTGCAACAGGTATAACGACGAAGCGATATTAGCACTCGATAACCAGGGCCTATTTCGGTTCGGTCCAAAGGACAAAGGACGGTAGTGATAGAGCTTATTTCGTCATAGCTATGCTCCGACACCTTGGCTCCCTCGCTCCCGCAGTGGAGAGCAGCACGGGATCACCGTAGTCGCAGCCGCAGCCAGACTTTTGAGGTGCGAGTGCGAGTGGCTAAAATAAAATACCCAGGGATGATTTGAGTGGCGCAAAGGAACTGTCGTATTGAAAGGCTTGCAGATGTTGTTGATTGATTGAGGACAGCTTTTGAGGAAGGCAATTGGAGGGGAAAGATGGGGGATCTCGTGGGGTAACCCTGTCTGTGTCGCACCTGTCCCGTGAACCGTACTTGCTTCAAGGAGAGGCAAGAAAACTTAGGACCTCTGTCCTAAATTATAAAAAGACTGAGGTAAATTTAGGTAAATTTAATATAGACTTAGGTAGAATTTTAACCTAATTATTTTTTATACCTGAGTTTAGAGTTAGAAACTTTTTTGCTCTCTAAGGCCTAGTTGATTAATATGTTCAGTCCTTTTCTTCTTGTAACTATATTGCAGTCTTCTTCCATGAATAAGTAAACGCGTCGTTGTGTTACTGTGCTGTTTGCTCTGTGCCGTATGATATGATGTCATTTGCACTCCGGGCGCCCGGCGTCTCGGTTGTCCTCATACGGATCCGTTCTCCGTTTTCGGCTCCGCTCCGTCCGCTGCCGGCAAAATGCAAAATGGCATCGGTCCGGCGCCGACAATTTTGATAAAATGTTTGGTCGTCCGCACATTTCTCTCGAATTGCAATTTAGATAGTTTACTCCATATGAAAGCATGGAACCCATACACTGCGATGTTTTGTGATCCCCTGTTTCTTGAACTTTCAGAGACCCTACATAACGGACCAATTTAGATGGTTGATGGCTCTCTCTTCCGAATGCGATAACTTATCATATGCCATAGCCCGTATAATGGAATTATATCTATAAAAAAAAATCCACAATGAAGGTCTAGCAAGGAGATGCCCGAGTAATTCGGCATAACATTGTTGAACAAAATATCCCATCAGAGTAAGCCATTCGAGCAATGCACTAGCCACTTCTAGTTAGCCATTCGAGATTACATGCTGGTTCGAACACAGCCCTACGAACCTCATCTCGCATCAACTTACGGACAAATAATCCCACCGCGTTGAAACATTTTGGCACTTCTTATTGGTTTTGATATTTCGTATTCCTCTTGAATAGGAAACCTCATTCGAATGCTTGTCTTTGCGGGTTGAATGCTTCGCCCTATCGACCCACGCTCTATGCAAACTGTAAAGTACGTAGATAGGAGAGAATGCGAACGATTAGCAGTTATGGAGATTCCGATGTTGCTCAGGGTGCCTCCAAGATGGATATATATCTACAGGTTTCATGCCTCGATCTCGATTTGAACATCATAATTTCATCACCGCAAATACTCAATCTCTTCAACGTGAACGATATCTCGGCCTTTAACTGACACAGCCCTCTATCGGCCCCTCTTGTATCTTCTATATCACTATGATCTCGTTGGCCAGAAAGGCCATCAGGGCCAACCAGCAGCGCAAACAAGCGCAGGCAAACCAAGTGCCAATGGAATTGCAAGAAGCAGGATCTGACGCTGCTAAGCAAGCACCTCAACAACCACAATGTCGACACATGGAAGCGTATGAATCTTCGTCTGGGAAATGTGCTGGGTGTGCATCAGAAAAGAGGGCCGCAAGAATATATAGATGGAAGATCATCCTCGGCCTCATGGCACCCTTTGCACTTCAAGCACTCGACTCGACAATGTATGAAAGGACCCGAAAATTACAGATTTGGACTGACACTATGAAACAGCATCGCCAGCGCTCTTCCCTGGATTGCTTCAGACTTCGGTGAGATCTCACAGCTCAACTGGATCGTCTCAGCGTTCAACCTCACATCTGCAGCCTTCATCCCTTTTTGGGCTCAAATGGCTGATGTATTTGGCCGCAATGCTTCTATTAATGCTGCTATTATTCTTATGCTCATTGGCAGTGCTTTGTGTACTGGAGCCCCGACAAATGCCTTCCCAGTCCTGCTTCTGGGTCGTGGATTTCAAGGGCTTGCAGCAGCTGGTCTCAACGTTGTTGTCCGCACCATTCTTGCCGACAGAGTTTCTTTACAAGAGAATGCGAAGAACTGGGCCATCTTCTCACTCGTTGGTGGTGTCTCGTATGGACTTGGCCCTGTCATCGGCGGTAAGATCACTTGTAGCTACAGTAGCTCTTTGAATACAGCTAACATCAGCTTAGGATACCTCACAAATGCTGACTGGAGATGGTGTTTTGCCATCAACCTCCCTATTGCCGCCGTCGCTCTTATCATCGTCTTCTTTGTCCTGCGCAAGGAGCTTCTCGGTCCTCAACCCATCCCTGAGCTCAACGAGACAGCTGAAACTGGCCGACGAACGAAATTCGTCGGCCGACTCAAGACTGTTGATGTTGGCGGCCAGCTTCTTTTCATCTTTGGCTTTGGTCTCGTCATTCTGGCTTTGACTTGGGGTGGTGCGACATATTCTTGGTCATCACCCGCTGTCATTGCTCCTCTAGTGCTTGGAATCATCTTTGCTGGTGTTTTCTGTTATTGGGAATATCTTCTTGCCCCTGGAAATACCATGGCTGAGAAGCTGCCCTGGCAACGAGCAATGCTCCCTTGGGAACTAATCTCAAGTCGTGATATTGGACTTCTCTTTTATTGCGAATGTGCCACAGGAATTGGCATGTATGCTGTAAGACTATCTTGTACCCATGGTTATTCCCTTTCTAACTTGTTCAGGTACTCTATTTCTGTAACATCTACTTTATTGCAGTCAGGGTAGGTCTTATTCAGATTAACACATGAACTCCTTGCTAACGATCTTCAGGGTTACAACTCTGACAAGGCTGGTGTCCAACTTCTCTATTTTGTCCCTGGTCTTGGAGGTTCGTTTTATATATTGTTTGTGGCTTGAATTTCATACTAACACCTTCATAGCCGGTGTTTATGTCTGCTCCTTCATGTGCAACAAGTGGCCTCGCATGACCTTCCCCTGTATCTTTCTAGGAACACTCACCGAAGCTGTCGGTCTGGGCGTTCTTGCATGGGCTATCTACGCGAACAGACTGAGCGTCACTTATGGAATGATGGCCCTTGTTGGCTGTGGTAGTGGTATGCGTTTCATGGCTTCGCCACTTCACGGCATTGGTCTTTTTCGACACTTGCGCGCCTCTGTCATTGGGCTCATGGCAGTTGCCATCCCTTTTGGTGGTACTATCGGCTTGACTATCATGTCTACAGTCTTCAACAACACTTCTGGGCTCGACTCTCATAGCGACTTCAGCAGCGTACATTCTTCGTCCGGTAGTGCAGCAAACGAGCTGGCTGTTCATCAAGCCAAGATGGGTGTTGTTTGGGCGTTTGTCGCCATCACTCCTCTCGTCGCACTGGTAAGTTCTGGAAATTGTTCATATCCTGGATGGGGACTAATTCAGTATCAGGCCTTCCCGATAACATGGTTCATCGGAAACGTCAAGCTCGGCCAAGGTCCCCCTGGAGAGGATGGTCCTACGGACATCGTGGTGAAGGGCTCTTATCTGCTTAAGCTAGTACGAGGCCAGGAAAAGTTGAAGATCGAGAAGAATGCATATAGGCTCAACAGCTCTCACAGTGGAGCATGGTCAGAAGCTGCAGCTTCTGATCGGAGCGTTAACGCCTCAAGACCTTTGCAGGGTTCCCAGCAGGTGTGACCCCCTGAGAGCATGGAGGGATGAATCTGGAGTCGGGTAAAGATACTAGAGTTGGTTTTTATTTAGCGATTAGAATTCCTATATAAATATAGAACTTGAATTAGACTTCACTTATCGTTTAGGCCCATGACTCGGGGTGTCTTGAGCCATCACGGTCGTGTTTATATACAATATCTGAACGTGATTCTTGATAATTGAATCATACGATGCCGTCTATTGTCTCTACGTTGTTCCTCAATCCAAAAATCGTTCTCAGATTTCTCTCAAGTTTGACTCTCTACCCCGGCCATGGTGAAGTGGTAGGTTCATGGGATGCATGACCATCTCGGTCAGGAGATAATCGAATAAATATAAATTGGGGAAGAGGATAAATATCGAAGAGCCTTGTGAACTGAATAAGTACCATAATCAAGTTCGTTTGAAAGTGTCAAGGGATGAAGGTGAATGTTCATATCCGCGAATCACCAACGACTCGCGCGTATCTGGATCCAATTTGAAACCAAGCAGTGATTCGCTGAGATAGTGTAAGTTCGGGGAGATAAATCGCCTGACCTTGAATTTAGGAATATTGCGGGAAAACACGAATGCGTCTTTGTTTCCTTCTCTTCACCTCTCTTCACCCCACTAGCCATCACAGTCCGTTCGCTTCATCATTCTTTTAGATCTTCTATAAGCAGCTCTTATCGTATAATTCACCTCTTTTGACCAATTGACTGACACCCTTGTAATCAATAATCAATATGAGCGATATCGATATTGAGGAAGAGCAAAGCCCGAATCCAACGTTTTGGCTCGAGTTTCGCACTTTTGACGATGGCCTCTCCTCACAAGTCAAATCGTCATCCACTCTCACCGCATTTCCTCAATTCGCACAACTACCGCCCGAGCTGCGCCTACGAATATGGTCATTACTCATTCAACCCCGCATTATCGTCGTCTGTTGTCTTCAACGCGATGAACGGCTTGATCAAAGACTTTATGAGTTGAACCAACGGTCGCATGGAAGATCAGTGCCTGTACTATTGCACATCAACCGCGAGACGCGATATCTAGCTTTACAGCATTATGAGCTTGCCTTTGGATGGCGCATTTCGAAGCTCCTTTCAGATACGCCCGTATCTGAGCCGCCACGCGTCTGGTTCAATTTCGCTCTTGACGCAGTCTATCTTGCAGGTGAACTAGAAGCATACGATATCTACGGGTTTAACTCGGCAATGGTGTATTTCTTACGACGGGAGGACACTCATAGGGTCAAGCATCTCGCATGTGTACTCTCGGAGCTCGGTTACGCGGAGCAGGAAAGTGATCAGGTGTTTGGATGCTTGTGGCACGTTGTCGATGGGTTTCCTGCTGCGAAGAAGGTCTTGCTTGTGGTAGGTGAAAAGGATGAGGAGGCTTTGAAAGGAAGTAAGCTGTTGAGTACAGATAATGTGATGCAGAAGATATGGAATGGCTTCTTGGGTGGATCAGCAACGGAGACAAGTTCGAGAATGGCGGATAAATCAATGCTGATGATCGAAGAACACGATCTGCCGGGGTTTATCACAATGCAATAACCTGGCCTTGAGTCTAAGCGAAGTGAATAGACGAGAAGAACCACATAGATACTTTAGTCTATAGTCTCACATGAGCTTTTACCTCCATTGGCTTGGACTAGGCACTCTTACCTAGCAGATACCGACATGGGACGGGGTGCCTATGCGTATTAGATGGATCTTGACGTGTGGGGATAGTGTATACTTAGAATAGAGCTTTCGAGACTTATACCAGTTGCATTGCATATGTCATGACTGTTCCAATGCGTGGTTGCTTACGGTGCAGCGGATAACTAGTTTGATAGTAGTTTACAATATCAAGTTTACTTTCAGCGAATGAATTAAGGTTATGTCGGTAGATTCAGTTCAGTTTTGCCGTTTCTTTGACGTTGAGTAATGGCACTTAGCAAGATTATGTGTCTTAACATCAAGATTGAAGCTTCATATCCCGAGCACATGGCAATACTTTCAGCCTGAAGAAGCGTATGTGAAAAGCGCCGTGCCGAATATCATGGCACCAGTTCGAAAGCCCATCCGTCCCATCTCGATCCATCACAGGAAAATCAGCAGACCTGAGGATATATTTCATCATAATGCTGTCTAAATGTCCCAAATCGGGTGTTGAAAGCTCCAGGGTAAATGCAAGTCAGAAGCGAGGATCCATCTAATCATGCAACCACAGACAAGCCGGTTTCTAGATGGAGCTAATCACGACATGGAACCCCACATACGATCCAATTGTTTGGGGTCGCCTCCAAGCGAGAACAGAAGCCGAGAGGCAACTGCTCCATCAAGAAGGAAGAAGAATTAAGAAGATATCAAAAATGAGGCGAGGGCAAATAACAATTGGAACCACGATTGCTTTGTAAGGATGAGCTGTTGTGCTCTGAGCTACCTATCTGCCAGCTGTACCTACGCTGTAAGGTACAGTTGGTGCCTTGATGAGGCTGCCGCAGTGAAACCCAAAGCCCAACGACGAAACTGAATTACACAAATAATGGCTTGAAATGGGCCTCAGGGGTTCTGCCGGTTGCCTGACAACCAACGTGCCCAGGCAAACAACTAACTGGGCAGGGGTCCTTGAATTCATACGCCACGCCTCAGCCCTGGGGTCCTGTGAGCCCAAGTGGATGCGCAGAGAGCCGTGGAAGCGCTAGGAAAACAAGTCAGTTTGTCGCAAAGATGGAGGCAACAGAAAGGAAAGACAACAAAGGAAGAGTTTGGAGATTTGGATCCACCCGGACAAAAATAATGGGGTCAACTGTAGGTGTTGTAACGGCTGTTCAAGATCATATGCTTTCATCACGGTTACCGACATACAGCGAGCAATTGAGCTTCGACGTTGGTACAAGATCATATCGATTTCAGCCTGATAGACTACGATCGAGATACAGGCAGGGTTGTCGACGATGATGAATCGCGCAGTAAGCATTGGTCACTCTGCACTAGACAGGTTCATAGGGGCAGATATCTGACTGAGAAAAGCCATGCATTTGATGTCCTCAATTAATGACTATGGTATTGTGATAAGTTAATGAATGAGACTACTGTAGATACGTGGACCACTATTGAAGTATCCCCAAACACGAAAACAGGCCTGCTGCATCGCGAATACACGCTGTGCAATCCAATCAGTTGAAGCTACCCAAGTAGCGGTAGCCAACACATGGACATCCATTGTTGGATACCAGGACAAGGCATCCAATATCTCTGGTCGAATGACAAGCGTATTCTTGATTCTTTGGAGCAAAATCTCAATAAACCGACTTTGCCAAAACCTCGATTATCAGAATTTTCCCATTGATTGCCACAAAATTATCCCGATCCCGTTATGACGCTCCATGATGAAGAGGCAACCTAGAGTTTTCGCAGTGCTAAACCCCAGGGAGAGAAGAGCGACAGAAGATGAGGGAGCGCCGTCTGAGGAGGGGCACGAAGAGGGAGCTACCCGTCCAACATGAGGTCGATTGGTGGGGCAAAGTAGTCAGTACAGAGATCTAGGTGATGCCTACACTGAAAGAAAGGTAGTGGGAACATGAAGCTCTAATCCTTGCTCGGATGCCCCGCGCTGGAAGATTTGGGAAGCAAAAAGTTTATGAGGGCATGACATCAGTAAGATGAGAGCACAGGGCAACAGGCACAAGATACGGGGTACCAGGAGAAGCTGTGAGATCTGGAGAGAAGAGACGGAAGCTACGGGAATAAACACGATGAGCTCTTGTGTCTTGATACCTCATCAGGAATCAGCCAGAAGCAATCAAAGATCCATCTCAGGTTGCGCATCGTTTGGGAGACGCAGTTTTTTTTTAGTGGGGCGAACCCAGATCTGCCTGTCTGCCAGGTGCACGCAGCTGCTAGACGCTTCTTCAGACCCCTCGCCCCCTCCAAAGCACGCCCCCCAGCAACGCCTAGCAGCGCCCAGAAAGTGGTAGACCCCCCTGCAACACCAGAGAAGCTCTCCAAAGTGGGCTCCTTTGGAACAGCGCAGAACCGCATCGAACCTTGGCACCTGCCTTTATTTAGATCCTTTTGCTCAACTCGCTCTGTTCCGTCTTTCTTCTCACAACATCATCACACTCAAATACCCTTTCAAAAGTCTTCAAATAACCGCGATCCTCCATTGAAGCAACTGCGATTTTCTTTTCCTTTTTCTCCTACTCTACGATATAATCTCTACGCATTCTACACACACCACACACATCACACAAAATGGCTCCCGCCGTCGGTATCGATTTGGGTACCACGTACTCTTGCGTGGGTATCTTCCGTGAGGACCGGTAAGTTTACATCCAGAAAAACCATCATGAGTTGCAATGGAAGGCATGACACTAACTCTTTCCCCAGATGTGATATCATTGCCAACGATCAGGGTAACCGAACTACCCCCTCATTCGTCGGTTTCACCGACACCGAGCGTCTGATTGGTGATGCCGCCAAGAACCAAGTCGCTATGAACCCCCAGAACACTGTCTTCGACGCCAAGCGATTGATTGGTCGCAAGTTCGCCGATCCTGAGGTCCAGGCCGACATGAAGCACTTCCCCTTCAAGATCGTCGACAAGGGTGGTAAGCCCGTTATCGAGGTTGAGTTCAAGGGCGAGACCAAGACCTTCACCCCCGAGGAGATCTCCGCCATGATCCTCACCAAGATGCGTGAGACCGCTGAGTCTTACCTCGGCGAGACTGTCAACAACGCTGTTGTTACCGTCCCCGCCTACTTCAACGATTCTCAGCGTCAAGCCACCAAGGATGCTGGTCTCATCGCCGGTCTCAACGTTCTCCGAATCATCAACGAGCCTACTGCTGCCGCCATTGCCTACGGTCTCGACAAGAAGGTTGAGGGTGAGCGCAACGTCCTCATCTTCGATCTTGGTGGTGGTACCTTCGATGTGTCTCTCCTTACCATTGAGGAGGGTATCTTCGAGGTCAAGTCTACTGCCGGTGACACCCACTTGGGTGGTGAGGACTTCGACAACCGTCTGGTCAACCACTTCGTTAATGAGTTCAAGCGTAAACACAAGGCAAGTTCAATCCCTTCCCCGTTTCCTTTTCCTTCTCCTCAGAACACGCCCTGAGTTTTGGCGAGTTTTGGTGATGTTGTCAAAACTTGACCCCTCCATCATAAACTCTCCATAAACTTAGAGGACCCACACTAAACTACCCCACATCGTACCCTTGCCTATGATCAAATCTTCATGAACTTATACTAACTCATTCTACAGAAGGATCTTAGCACCAACGTCCGTGCTCTGCGACGTCTCCGAACTGCTTGCGAGCGTGCCAAGCGAACCCTCTCTTCTTCCGCTCAGACCTCCATCGAGATCGACTCTCTCTTCGAGGGTATCGACTTCTACACCTCCATCACCCGTGCTCGTTTCGAGGAGCTCTGCCAGGATCTCTTCCGATCCACTATCCAGCCCGTCGACCGTGTCCTTACCGACGCTAAGATCGACAAGTCCCTTGTCCACGAGATCGTCCTCGTCGGTGGCTCTACTCGTATCCCCCGTGTCCAGAAGCTCATCACCGACTACTTCAACGGAAAGGAGCCCAACAAGTCCATCAACCCTGATGAGGCTGTTGCCTACGGTGCCGCCGTCCAGGCCGCGATTCTCTCCGGTGACACCTCCAGCAAGGCCACCAACGAGATCCTGCTTCTCGATGTCGCCCCTCTCTCTCTCGGTATCGAGACCGCTGGTGGTATGATGACCAAGCTCATCCCCCGCAACACCACCATCCCCACCAAGAAGTCCGAGGTCTTCTCCACTTTCTCCGACAACCAGCCTGGTGTTCTTATCCAGGTCTACGAGGGTGAGCGTCAGCGCACCAAGGACAACAACCTCATGGGCAAGTTCGAGCTCACTGGTATCCCCCCTGCCCCCCGTGGTGTCCCCCAGATTGAGGTCACCTTCGATCTTGATGCCAACGGTATCATGAACGTCTCCGCCGTCGAGAAGGGCACTGGCAAGTCCAACAAGATTGTCATTACCAATGACAAGGGCCGCCTGTCCAAGGAGGAGATCGAGCGCATGCTTAACGACGCTGAGAAGTACAAGGAGGAGGATGAGGCCGAGGGTAAACGTGTCGCTGCCAAGAACGGTCTTGAGTCTTATGCTTACTCTCTCCGCAACACCCTCTCCGACCCCAAGGTCGAGGAGAAGATCGAGGCCAGCGACAAGGAGACTCTCACTGCCGAGATCGACAAGGTCGTCCAGTGGCTCGACGACAACCAGCAGGCTACTCGTGAGGAGTACGAGGAGCACCAGAAGGAGCTCGAGGGCAAGGCCAACCCCATCATGATGAAGTTCTACGGAGCTGGTGGTGAGGGTGCTCCTGGTGGCATGCCCGGTGGTCCCGGTGGCTTCCCTGGTGCTGGCGGCCCTGGTGGTGCTCCCGGTGCTGGTGGTGACGATGGTCCCACCGTCGAGGAGGTCGACTAAATTCTTTGATACCCCAACAACATCAGTCTCGACTTCTAGAGTTGTCATGTGTCCAATGATACAATGCGGAGGCTAGGGGTCTCATGGGATGATATGATGAGATTAGATTTTTCTGTTTTGTTTTGCGACTTTCACGGTTATGAAAAAGCTCGGTGGTTTTTACCCAATGTATTTTAATGAATCGATGAATCAAGATATTCACAATACCTACTTTGTCTATCCCATTTGTGACATGTTTACCATTGCTCATGATGAATATAGTGCTCGCTTGTTGCACAGCTTGCAAGATCTTTGGTCTTGTCAATGCTCTAACGTCTCCATCATCTTCATAACCCCATCAACTTTATGGCCCAAGTTAGATAGATGTGATGATGTCTGGTCTCAGGTATGTCCAGGAACGATCAGCGAACAAGATATTCGATACACCAATGAATCATGGTCATATTTCAGACATCCACCACAAGTGCCATTGATTGGTATGTTGATGACATGATGAAGAGTAGTTTCTGAACAGTCTTGAAGAGACTCGAACACATCTCACTCTAGAACAACCTCTGGCAACCGCCCGAGGATAATAATCGCAGCGATCTTGTTTAGGAAATTGGGGACTTTTCTATTAATACAAGAACAAGTTGATCAATTTCGTGGCTCAACAGGCTCATTAAATACTGTCCCTTCTGGTACCTTGTCCTCTCTACTCTCCCAAACATCCTCACTACTCGGCTTCCCAGGGCCATACTTTGTAAACTCCTTCGCGCGATAATAATCCCTAATAGCCTTCTCCCGCATCTCAGGAGAGTAACTCTTGGTACGCATGCAGAACCAGAAGTCATCCCAATGCTCACTGCATGACCTCATCTCACCGTAGCGATACACGGCATTGAATTGTCCACCCATGGAGTTGCATGCCCATGCTTGGTCGAAGGCCTGACGACAGGACATGTCTGTAGGGAGCAGGGCTTCAGAGAGGGCGTCGCGTGGAGGAATGTCGGCGGGTGTAGGGGCGGTTGAGCGGGTGGATTTCTTGAGGGAAAGCCATGATGATATTGTAGAGGGGGTGGAGGATTGTTGTTGTTGGTCTTCCGTTGAAGAAGGTTTGACGTTCTTTTCGGCTTCAAATAGGTCGATGAACTTTTGGATTTCGGGATCGGTATTTGAGTTGGATGGGGCTGAAGTTGAAGGATTTGAAGTTGTGGTTGTGGTTGTGGTTGTTGATGTGACAGCATGTGTCTCTTTGACTGGCGCAGCTGACTTGTCCTCACTGGGAGGTGTTGAAGACCATAGCCAACCCATTGCGACGTTTTATAAGTGGTAGATTCGATCAAATATATCCTTCAAGTTCCTCGTGGTGGTTGATGCGAATATGCTCAGAACCTGGTGGAGAGAGAAGAAAAAGTATCGATATCGCAAAGTAATGGCGCGACTGAAGCTTTATTCTTGCGATGAATGCAGAATCAACTGTCCAATTGAAGTTGTTGAAGCGATATAATCTGACTTGAGTCTTGTGAAGCGCAGATTGTTCTGGATATTGGAGATTTGGTGATGAAATGCGACGCTGGGATGGATGCATTAGGAAAAATAGATCTGCCGTATTCCCGAGGCCATCTGATCGATTAAGAAAGAAGTTCAGAGTTCTCATATCATAACTATTCTAGAATAAAAAAATCAATACGATATTCTAATCCGTAAGATATACCGTTTTCAGGCCTGGCTATTATGCTGTGATCTAATATGCATATGAAGGGTTGGATGTCTGCCCTGATAGCCGTGTTTCATGTGTTAACACTCTAGCTATTTCTTGTCACAGAGGGTTTAATGAAGACCACTGACAGGAAGTTCTAAACAATCACTCTCGTAGTCCAGTTGACATACCTATGCTGAATCAAAATTGAATTCTCCCTTGGCGAGTTTCGTGAGGTAATTGAAGCATCATCGTGATCTCTATATCATGGATCGGATCATTGTTTGGTGGGGTTGATCTTCACATGGGCGTTTCAGCTTCTGGACAAAGGCAACAAATACCTTTTTTAAGAAGTATATATATATCCTTATCACAATAGTGTAAGTAAATATGAGATTAAATCTCTGAGAAGCATAGTGATCATAAATAATTGTTAATCATACAGCGTGTTTCAAAGTAGGTTGGGAGCTATTTATCTCAAGGCCGTCCAGGCCGAGACTCAACTGCCATTCTCAGCTTATGACCTCATTGGAGGAAGCTAGCCGCAATGCGACAGCTCCAAGCTAACCCTTCCTGCCAACAATTCTATACCCTAATTAACAAACTTGATCTCTTCACGATCCTGAGAATCCTCTCACTCTCTCAACCGTGGCTTGTTGCAGCATGCGCGCTGTTGGGATCGAAGCATCATGATTCCAAGCCGAGGTCTTGCGACGGCGGCGCTTTTCGCAGCCCGACGGCCCCTCATATCATCAAGATCCCTCGGATGTGGCTTCGCAGCAGCTTCTCTTCGACAACGGCTCAACCAAAATGCGATAAACCGACCCGTTAGTCGTGTGTGGGAGAGCACAGTCGTTAACCCCGAGGATGCGGTTCCCCCAATTGCGCCTGAAGAAGGTGCTGACAAGAGTGGCCATATCACTACACAATCCAATGAAGCCATTCTCTTTTTCGATAGTGAGTTTCCTTACAGAAGAGGCACCACCTGCTTCTCGGCTGACAAGAACTTCAGATATCTTTCCCCTCAAACTCAGTAGCGTTCTCATGCGCCCTTGGAAATCGGACAATGACGTCTCGGATCTACTCAGACGATTCGAATCTTCTTCTTTAGGCATTCTAGACCCAATTCGCCTTGTGAAAACAGCCATTCCAGAAGACCTGCCAATGAAAGTGACAGAGATCTTACCACGACTCAAGGATGGAGGTGCATATGTCAAATTCATGCATGACTCCAACATAGACCCTGCCGAAATTGAAGGTATGTTTGCCCTGTCTGGATTCATCTTACACATTTACTAATTCATCTGCCAGCTCAGTTAGCAAGTCGACTCAAAGAAAAGCCCATAAAACCTTGGTTCTCCATCTTTCGTCCTGTCAACGCCCGTCTCGTACAAGGCACACCATGGTTAGAAGACCTGTACAGGTATCCTACCAGCTTTATCAAGATCGAGTTTGTTCCTCCAACTCCCGGTACCACACCTGAAGAGCTCCCTGAAGAGACGCTATACTCGCTGTTCCGCAAATATGGAAAAATCGCAGACATTATACCACAGCCAACCGACTCAAAGGTCACGCCACGATATGCCCATGTCATGTTTCCCGTAACAAGAGACGCTATTATGGCTCGCAACTGTATGCATGGGTTTATCGTCAATGAGGTCTTGGGAGGTGGCAAGAATGGAACTAAGCTTCGCCTGTCCTTCGAGAAACGTGTCAAGGCCCACAGTATCTGGAATTGGTTGACCAACCATCCACGTATTGTGATACCTGTCTTCGCTGCTCTTGCAGCTGGTCTCTCGGTTCTGATTTTCGACCCTATTCGAGAATTCTTCATCAAGCTTCATATTCAGCATTCTCTGGAGTTCAAGGATTCTCGAATCTACAAATGGTTCAAGAAACAGTCTGGCAACTTTGGCTTATCAACCAAACCCAAGGGAGGTGATGGCCTCGAGGAAGTCTGGAATCACCGACGAGATGCAATTGACAAAGTTCAAGGCTGGCTTGACGAAACATCTGACACATTCATCGTTGTTACAGGACCCAAGGGCTCAGGAAAGGTTGAGATGGTCATGGATCAGGCTTTGGAAGGCCGAAAGAACGTGCTCAAGATCGACTGCAGACGCATTGTCGAGGCCAGGGGCGAGGCGGGCACTATCAAACGTCTTGCTACAGCCGTTGGCTATCGTCCTGTATTCTCATGGGCCAACAGCATGAGCAGTATGATCGATCTAGCTGTTCAGAGCACCACTGGCGTCAAAGCTGGCTTCTCGGAAACTCTCGAGTCTCAGTTGACTAAGATCATGCAGACCACGACCGGTGCCCTCAAGGATGTTGCCGTTAGCTCGCGTAACAAGAAGGATAGCGACTACAAGTTGTCTGAGGATGCTTGGCTGGAAGCTCATCCTGAGCGTAGACCTGTTGTCGTCATCGATAACTTCCTCCACAAGGGCGAGGAAAACAGCATCATCTACGACAAAATAGCTGAATGGGCAGCGACTGTCGTGCAAAACAACGTCGCCCATGTTATCTTCCTCACCACTGACTCAGCCTACTCGAAACCCCTGGATAAAGCACTGCCTGATCGACTCTTCCGTACTGTTTCCCTTGGCGATTTGGCGCCTGAGGTAGCAAAGAACTTTGTTCTTAGCCGGCTCAAGGATCAACTCGCCGCTGAGGAGAAAGTACGAAAGGAGCAAGGAGATGAGGAAACTGAAAAAGCACCTGTCCCACGCCCAAACATGTTTGAGCTTGACCAGTGTATCGACACTCTCGGTGGCCGTCTCACAGATTTGGAGTTCCTCGCCCGGCGCCTACGAACTGGGCAATCTCCCAAACAAGCCATGGAGGAGATCGTTTCTGAGACAGCTACCGACATTGTTCGTATCTACCTTCTTGGCAAGTCTTCAGAGATTGAGGACAAGAAATTCTCTTCTCAACAGGCTTGGCATCTTATCAAGTCGCTCGCTCAAACTCCCAACCTACGCTATAACGAAGTCACCCTGTCGGCGCCATTCTCCTCTGCAGCACCCGCAGCTGCCTCAAATGCCGATGCTGCCATTGAGAGTCTTGTCAGCGCCGAGCTCATCGCCGTCAAGACGCATCAGGGCCGACCCATGACAATCACAGCTAGCAAACCTCTGCACCAAGCTGCCTTTTCCGTCCTGCTACAGGACCGTGTCCTTCGAGCCAAGATGGACTATGATGTTCTCAACGATTCATCAAAAGCCGAAGCTCGCTCAATCGAGAAGGTAGAGAACGAATTGGCTCTTCTGGGCAGCTTGCCTCGTCAGACAGCAGAGACAGCAGGACGTATCAACTTCCTGCTCCGCAAGTTAGAAGATAGCCAAACCAAGATCACTAAATGGGACAAGGAAATGTCCACTTTGAAGAAGCTTCTTAGCGAGGAGTTTTAATGATGGGTTGCATATGCTTGGGAAGGACTATCTTGATTTATGATGACTCCTCTCTAACTATTGCCACTATATAAGAATAAGAACATCTGAAATTCATTCAAGTCTACTAGAATTTTCCGAGGCTCAGAAGGGTGGCTATGGATAAAACTTGTCATCTTATAATACGACAGCAGTGGTATTGCTTTTCAGATATGGTTACAAGAATCTTGCATTAACATTGAAATTTCATCTGTCATGAATGGTATACAACTAAACACGCCCAACCGAACATAAATCATGAAGCCGGTCAAGAGCCGTCTCCTTCAAGGCAAATCCGACATAATGCACCCCCATTTTCATGCTTTTCTGCCAATGATGCTCCTAGGTAAACAGTTGCTTAAAAAAGAACACCCGTCATTTATGCCATAAATCAAACAAGTGGCATAGTCCACCATTGACATCCCACAGCTTCACTGTATTAATTACTCCTAAGCCATCATGGACAGTTGTGATTGATCGGGTTCTGCTGGTTGAGCTGATATTTCACATCCTTGAGTGAAGAATATGCGAGAATCTGTATCGTAGTCGTTTGTTATGCTGTAGTAGTTTCCTAATACACGCGGTTAGTCACTCAGCAGATTCAAAAAGGGGAGCAAGTTGACATACCTCTGGGAACAAACCACATGCCTCCAGCGCTGAGTCGGAATGAAGCCTCGTTCACAGTGACAAGCACCTTTCCAGTATGTACAAAGAAGACCATGTGCATCTTTCGCGAGTTCTTTGGCCGCTTCTCAGAGCCAGCAGGTAGATCCACGACACCTGCACCCATAAAAGGGGTTGTGAGTGTCTTGGCCATGCGGAAGGACACATTTTGAACAGCACGGGTCTGGATAGCTTCACCCGATATAGCAACTCGATCCTCCATGACCTCGACGGGTTCTTCGTCTCCAGGAGGATTCGTCTCGTGCTCAGGCTCCCATAAGATGACCTCGGCGTTGACGACACCAGGATTAAGCTCCCACTCTTCAGGCTCAACCACTTCAACTTCTCGCACAGGCTTGGATTTCGCCCTTCCACGTGCTTTGGTCCTAGGCTTTGCAGGCGGCTCTTCTTGAGGTGCGCGGATAATTTCTTTGATGGTTGACAGCACAAAGCGATCACGGCCAGAGACGTCCTTAAATTCCTCCTCCTCTTGAACCACCTTGTCGCCTGCCCACCAATTCAGTGGTCTGAACGAATGTCTCCCAGATCTTGTCGTCTTAACTTCGTCGGGGTTATGACGAACAGAAACAAGACCGCGCTTCTTGGGCATCGGAGGTCTATGTTGAATCGCTGCAATCGATGTATCTCCCACATCGCCTGCGGTCTGTGCTTTGGGTTTTCGTCCAGGTCTCCCTCTGGGTTTTGGCTCGGCTGCTGGTGCTGGCTTGGCAGGTTTCGAGGGTTTAGAGGCTTCAGTTCGCGGTCTCTTGGCTTGTCTGGGGGATTCTTCAGGTTCGGGCTCTGTAGCTTCGTTGTCTGGCTCTTCATCCTCCTCGGCCTCTTCTGGTTCCTCTGGCACTGGTCGCTTCCGTGATTTGGGGCCAGCTGACTTATTAGGCTGAACTGCATTCTTCGGTTTTCGTCCCCTTCGACCCTTGACTGGCTCTGGGATCTCTTGAGGCTCTTCTGGCTCTTCTTCAACGGGCTCCTCCTCCACGGGCTCTTCTTCGACTGGTTTGGCCTTCGCTGGCCTTCCTCGTCGCCCTGGCTTTTTTGGTTCTGGTTCTGCTTGTTGTGACTTGGCTTTGGCTGATGCTTTGGTGGCCTTAACAGGCTCCGGTTCAGGCTCTGACTCGTGTTCTGACTCGTGCTCTGAAGAGTATCCAGCCAGACCGTCAACCAATTCGAGAGACTTGTCGAGGAGGTCCATATCATCCGCAACGCCGCCCTCTTCACTGGGTTCGGGCGCATCTTCCGTTTCATCAGCGTCCTCCTCATCGTGAGTATCGCCATTAACTCCATTCGCCGTAGCCTTCCCGCGCAAAGAGGGGTTTGCTCCAAAATCGATTTTCCGGGTCACAGTAGCGTCGCGATCGTTGGAATAGGGTGCTCTGGTGGGTGAGGAGAGATGTTCGAGGTTTGGATTTCGTCGAGGAGAAGACATTAGTGTAGTCTTTACGGGCGATCGACTTCGAGGAATGGGATGCTTCATGCCTCCCCTAAGTACAGTCTGAGGTCCCGGTCCAGGAACTAGAATGGTGTTAGTCAATGCATTTTATGGCTGCAGGCTTTCGAGCGCACTTGTTTCAATGTCCATATCTTCACTGCCATCTTCGTCCTCGTCCTCTCCGCTTTCGTATTGGTCGTTGTTTGGGTCTTCGTCCTCTCCATCGTATCTTTGATCAGATCCGGTTTCATTTTCTGGAGAAGAAAGAAGGTCGTCCAAAGGTTGCATGCCATATTCGTCGCGATTACCTGTGTCTACCAACTCGACACCAGTTTTGCTACAAGAATAATTAGACCCTGCAGAAATATAGGCAATGATAGAATGTAGCGATTCAAACGCGCAATATGTACTTACCGACCGCGCTCGCCAAGTTTGTAAATGGCTTGCGGTTCAGCAACTTCGCTGCGCCTTGCGCCTCGAGGTGCCATTTTGTTTATTTTCCACCTGAACGTATGCTATATCTTCTTGGATAGAGAAACGGTGTCTCTTATCGCGACGTCGAAATGAATGGGTGGGGTATGATGAGAATTGGAAACAAAGACGCGACTGGTGACGCGGTTGTGGATGTTGTTTGGTGGTGACTTTTAAGCGGCGCGCCCAAGTAATTGAAATCGAGTGGTGCCCGCCTGGAGCTGGGGGCGTGTTAGAGGGTCATAGTTGATTTGACCAGTGAAATCTTACATGGGCACAGTGGGCTTAGGTATGCTTCAGTATGACAGCCCGGCTATAACTTGCTCAGTACTTTATGTATTTCTTTGTATGAGGAGTTCATGGTGAGAGAAGAGCTGTCCCGTAGATAAACTGCGCACATTTTCTTGACCTAAATTCAAGAGGGAGCTCAATAGATCTACTATATCCGTCTTTGAAGTGATTAAGTGGATGCTCTCAGTTGGCCAGTACATGTGGCTTGACGTATCATGGCGTTGTATAAGTGTATGCAGTGGCTTGCCTACTTGCTTTCAACGGGCATCAACGACAATATTTGATGACATGCCTCGAAGAAAACGAATTTAACTCTTAGTTAATTGCATAAATTGATATTGATTAGGCTTATCCGATCCTTTATAGCCAATGAGTTGCACCGTAGAGCTTTCCATACCTTCCTTACCTTAGGTTGACTATGGTTCAAGTGCCTGTAGGTATAGTTGAAGGACACCATATAAAAGGTGGAGCTTGGGTGCTTAACGCGTCTAGACGCGTCTCCTGGAACACCCACCACTTAACTTTCTCTTTACTTTAACTTCCATGGCAGCCAGAGACGTCAATTGGCGAATTTGATCCCAAAACTCAACTTACAGCATAATCAACTATACTTATTAATATCAATCTTCACATCATGACAGACTCGCCAACCGAAGACGTCCCCGAGACAGTCACCCGCTCCTCAACGACTTATATCCCACCCTCAGTCCACGACCAAGCCCTCCTCTCAGGCTCATCATTCAACCATTTCTCCGCCGTCCCATCCTCTCTACTCCCCAGCGACCCTTCCGATCCCTCCTCGGCAACTCCATGCTGTCTCGGTGTCGACGAAGCCGGCCGTGGCCCTGTTCTCGGTCCTATGGTCTACGGCGTCTTCTTCCTCCCTGTCGACCTCTCTGATTCTCTACTTCGTGAGAAGCATCACTTTGACGATTCCAAGGTTCTTACACCTGCTGTTCGCTCAGATCTTATGCGCACACTTTGCACACCTGGTTCGGATCTCCACGACTCTTGTGGCTGGGCAACGGCTTCACTATCGGCTAGAGATATCGGCGCGAACATGTACCGACCTACGAATGCGTATAACCTCAATGCTCAGGCTATGGACGCTACAGTCGATCTAATCAAAGCTGTGTATGCGCTTGGCGTAAACATCCAGGAGATTTACGTCGATACCATCGGCCAGCCAGCAGCATATCAAGCAAAACTGCAGCGCGTGTTTCCCACGGCCAAAATCACTGTTGCTAAGAAGGCCGATAGTCTGTATGCATGCGTCAGTGCTGCATCGGTTTGCGCAAAGGTCACTCGTGATGCTGCGCTCGAAGTTCTCTTCGAAGCGAGGGCAGATGAAGACGAGAAGGATGGTGAGGGTATGGCATGGGGCTCAGGATATCCATCTGACGGACGCTGTGTTGGATGGATGAAGGGCAACATGCACCCTGTGTTCGGATGGGGACCGGAATGTCGTTTCAGCTGGGGGACAGCAAAGGATATGCTTGAGGGCAAGGGAAATGGTGTCAAGGTTGAGTGGCCACTTGAGGATGATGGTGAGACGAGTAGGCTCACTGATTTCTTCACCTCAGGGGACAAGGATAAGGAGTCATCAGAGTTGGGCAATTGGTTTGGTACTCCGGCTGGCTTGGAAGCATTCTAGATACCCCTATAATCTACCTGGGAACGAATTTATTTAAATAGTCAATTTTGGACATGGCGTTGGCGTGAATAGAACAAATTCTCCTTTTATTTTTACAGTAGACATTATATCCTGTTCGCTAATCATACTCGACAAGGCCTGGAGCCACTGCTCGGACTCAGCCATAGCCTCTATACATTAAATGTCGTCAATGTCATCCTTCTCTGTAGAAGTCGTGTTGGCCTTCTTGCCCCGACTATCCAAAGTATCCATGCTAATGTTATCGCTGTCCTCGCGCGCAGGCATGCCAACCGCTTGGCGTGCAGTATCGGAGTTAGCAATAAAGTCGCGGAGCTGCTGCTTCGCAATCTCAACACCCTGCGTCATAGCAGCATTGCCCATTGAGAGCATAGGACCGAGAAGGTTAAGTGTGTATGCAATATATGTACCTCCGGCGATGACTAGGATAAGCAGGCAAAGGAAGGGGTTTCGCAGAACTGAAGAGCCATTTGTTAGCTGAAGCATAAAGGTCAATCATAGCCAGATCAAACTTACCAGTCAATATCTCGTTCCAGCCAAGGGCAAGGAGTAGACCATAAAAGTACCAAGGAACCTGAGCGACCCCACCAATGGCACCTCGTTTGGCTTCGACATAAACTCCATCAGCAGTCTTCTTGAATCGTACAACAAGGTCCTGACGCTTGCCCTCGCTGAGCACCGTCATCTCCTCCTCGAGGCTCTTGCCATCCTCTTCGTCGATACCTCCAATCGGTGTGAGGTCCTCCTCGTCACTGGCCTGGACACCGTTGGGCTGAGGTCCAACGAAGCCTGGCAAATCAGGAGGGCCATATGTCTCCGATAGTCGGAATCTTGAGAGAAGAGGAACGAGGGTGAGAGTGGACTCTCGCGCCTTAGTGTAAATGCCCTCAATATCGTCGCTGGGACGCCAAATCCTGGGCACGCCAGCCTCGTCGTACCGGAACTTATCTTCGAAGTTCTCTCGAAGCTTCAGCAGAATGTTGCCCTCCATAACCTCTTCCTCAATCTTTTCTCGAAGGGCGTTCCAGCTCTTTCGGCGCAATCGCCATGTGCCGATCTCGACCTCTTCTTGAGTAGCGTCGAAGCTCTTAGCTCGCTCGGCAAATCGAACCTCGGCTTCCTTGACAATGCCCGTGAAGACCTTCCAGACTCTGTCCCAGAGATCCTTCTCAGAATCGGGCTTCTCGCCGGTCTCGGGGGCACCACTGCCGCCTCGGCCGCTGCCCAACTTGTTGAACTCGAGACCAACGGCATCGCCAAGTCGAGATCTGACCCAGCGCTCGACACGGGTCGCAAGTCGTCGCATTTCTTCTTTTCGTAGTTTAGCGCTCTCTTCATCAAGCTCCTTCTCAAAGAGCTTGAGCTGCGATTCGAAGTTAGTCCATGAGACACCTTCAATGAGCAAGCTCTGAGCCTCAACACCAAAGATGTCCAGTGTCTTTCGCTTTTCGTTGGCGACAATTTCGGCAAATTCATAGCTACCACCAGCCTTCTGCCCGGCCTTCACCTTGTTGGCAACAGCCTCGCCAAAGGCAGTGACACCGGCCTTGTGGGCAGCGGCCAATTGACCCTGGTAGAGAGCCTTCAGGCGGGTATCAATCTTGCCTTCGAGCTCGTGTCGCTTGCGGGCGTAAACCCCCTTATGGTATCGGCTTGCCTGCACCTCGAAAGCCTTGATGCACTTTTGGCGAGCATCGTTGCCAGCCAGGCCAAGATCAGGCAGAACAGTTGGGACGCCGAGCTTGGAAGCCTCGCTCTGCTTCTCCTCGAGGGGCGTAACTACGACATCAAAATCAATCAGAACTTCTCGAGAAATCTCGTCGCAACGGAACTGAGCCAGAAGCTCCTGTTGAGTAGGCAGGTCCAGGTCCTTGTTGTTCACAATCTGATCCCAAATGCCCTCAGCATAGACGGAAAACCCATCGGCAGGAATTCGTCGGTGATACTCGGGGAGGAAGAGACCACCCTCGAGCTCTTGGTCACCGTGCAGACCAGGTTTGCCATGTCGGTGTCCAGCTGTGAATCGCGATCCAAGCTTCTGAACCCCCTCGGTGAACTTGTCAGCCTGAAGGATCTTGTGAGGCAGGGCAGCGAAGCCAAAGTCGAAGTAGTCCTCGATGCGCGAACCCTCGAGCCCCTGAGGCTTGGAGATGGACGACCAAATCTTAGTCAGGTCCTGAATCAGGGTGGTTCGGAGGTTGCCCAGGGGTGTAGTGCCGAGGTGATCGCGGATGACGAAGAAGAGTAAAGATCTAGGGGTTGACCTGGGTAGAGTTAGTAATCGCGCAAGCATGTGTTACCGTAGAGTTTGGCTTACTGCTTGTCCTTGAGGAAGAGCTGCAGATTGACCTCGAAAACGGTCTTGAGAAGTCCCATATTCGCACCCTGGTATAAACCAACCTGGTGCTCCCAAATATTGACGATCAAGACTTCACTGGTGGCCAGCGCAAACAGGGCACTTTTGCGCTCAAAGTCCTGGTCCTCACCGCGCTCTCGACCATCGGTACCCTCAACGTCCATGACGAGGATGTTGTCGGACATTTTTGTGCCTGCGCTCGTCTCGCGCTTGTTCTTAGACATCCAGATACCCTTCGTGGTTTGTCGACGCTCGGTTTCTGACATGACGGAAAAGTCGGTGCCGAAGAGGTTGTTCAGGAGGGTCGACTTTCCAGTCGACTGAGAGCCGAAGACGGAGATGAGGTGGTAATTGAAGCCAGAGGCAGCAACATCGGTAACGTTGAGATACTCATTGAGGTGGGTGCTGTAGTGTGGCAGGTTAGTTAGTACTGTAGACATCATGACAGGCAAAGTGGCGGGGAACAACTCGACAGCTGTATAGTACATACTTGAACTCCTTATCCTCGTCAATAACCTGGACGCCGTGCTCATAGCTTCCAGCCCCCGGCGCCTCGCCGACGGCAGAGAAATGGCCGTTCATGGTATGCGATTGGTATATATCAAGGAGAAATGTAGTAGACGTAGGTAGGTGTAGGTAGAGGTGGTTTATTCGAAAGCTGGGGCGTGCATCCGTGGATAAAGTACGGGTGGCGACCCTCGATATTATGAGCTTATGTTATCGTGAGAATATATGTTGAAGGAAGTGTCCCTTTTTTTTACTTGTATAGAGGGAAAAAGGAGTCGAAAACAGGATCGAGAGTTGTTGGGGCGAATAACTAGAGCAGTCGGACGACCAAAAAGTTGTGACCACCTGGACAAAGACAAGGAAAGACAGAATAGATCCTTGTGACGACGAATGATGGGGATGTGAGGTACGTACTTATCTATTGAACAACCCTCTTCTCCCCTGGGATTTGACGGTCCGAAGACGGATTAGCAGTCGAGGTCCCACTGGGGCACCTCCCTACCACTCCTTATGCAGGTGCTCTACGGTAATTAGCTGTACCCCTGCCACATGTTTATTTCTGTGATTCGGCGTCAAAAAAGCGGTCACATTGTTGTACTGCAGCAGCTGCCCTAGGACACGCATACAACTTGGGTAGGTATCCAAGACATGTCATCAGCTGCGCTCTGCTAATAAGAACTTACTACTGCTTACTCATGAGATTGATTCTATAGCGGGTGCTGGCGGGATCGGTCCGGGTGCCACAACGGATCAAGTTATGAAGCTTGAATGATGTTACTCTCGGCCAATCAGAGGAGCCTCGCTTGAAGGATGTATGTAACACCCCGCCGAGGGGCATCGAGGGGAAGTTGATAATGATATGAGGTTGAATAGATAAAAGCAACTACAATTTCATAACTTCCAATCTTGCATCTTTGAACCTTCATAACCTTAGGTCTAAAGAAAGCAAAATGTTGATCAAGGAGTCTCACGTCGATGTCCCTACCTCTGCCAATGGCAAGGAGGGTACTATGCGTATGTCTAGCTCAACTCTCATGATATGTGATATGAAACTTACAGTCATGACTAGGCATCTTTGTTTTTCATCCTACTATTCCTGGATACCCCAATGCGCAAGTCTCCTGAATCCTCTTGCTCTTTATCATTCTGACCTTCATTCAGGCGCTTCCCTGGTGTGAGTCTCTTCAGCGAGATCTACCAAGGTCAGCTCTCACTCTACAACCACAGTAATATCACAGCAAACTCATCTTACTTCTCCAGTCACTGGTCCTGTTGCCCGCTTCGCTCGTCAGATCGCTGGCCAAGGCTACATCGTCGCTGCACCTTCATCTTACCATGACTTCACCGGCCCTGAGCCCCTCAAGTACGATGCTAAGGATACTGATCGCGGCAACAAGTTTAAGATCGAAAAGGTATTCACTCGACAAGCATCACTTCTTACTCAGACTCACTCTGACTAATCATTCCAGACCCTCGAGTCTTATGATGCCGACTCATATGCCACCGTCGACTACCTCCTCTCACTTCCCACCTGCACAGGCCGTATTGGAGCTACAGGCATGTGCCTAGGTGGCCATCTCGCCGTTCGTGCTGCTGTAAGTCTTTCTCCTATTGTTTCCTTTTCTCTTCTCTTCTCATCACTCAACTAATTCGACACAGCTTGACCCCCGCATCTCTGCTTGCGTTGCCTACTTCGCAACCGATATTCACTCCCGCACACTCGGACCTTATGATGCACCAAACACCTCATCAACCGCCCCTCCCAATAGCAATCACACCATCGATCTCTTCAACAAGTTCAAGGGAGAGGTTGCCATGATCTTTGGTGTCAAGGACACTCATGTCCCTGATGCTGGTCGCGATCTCATCCGTGCCAAGCTCCGCGAAGCTGGTGTCCCTACTAGCTTCTATGAGTTTGCTTGGGCTCAGCACGCCTTCATCCGTGACGAGCTTAGCAAGGGACGTTACGATCCTGCCATCACCAAGGTCTGCTTCGAGGTTCTGCTAGAACTCTTCGGCCGTGTTCTCAAGACTGAGTTGGGCGCAAAGGATGGTGATGTCCCACCTCCAGAGCACGTTTGCTAAGCTAGTCCTCCGTAGTCTTCACAAATACCAAGTTACTTGGACGGCAATTATCCTCAAAATATTTGATTGAAGTGTAATAATAATCTAGATTCTTTACTTCGTGAATATTGAGAGCTGCTGCTCTGCAGTCCCTGGCTGGGTTTCATAAACCGATACATCCGCCCAGTCTTTTTATACGGATGACCCAATCTGAGTTTTAAGAAAGGAGATGACTGTTCTCGTCTCTCAAGTATCCCGAATACTAACATAGAAAAATCCAATTCCGTCCCAAATAACCTCCCCAATATTACTACTATCAATACATACTGATCAGCCGTTACAGTTCGTCTGTCTCACTTCCAGGTCCACTAGCGCTGGGGAGCGGGTGGTTGCCCTTGAGGTGGTCCCTGAGGCGGTCCCTGACCGGGCCTTTGTAGAGGGTGGGCGACATTATACTGGCTGCTGGAGCCGGCATAGGGTTGGTAACCTTCAGAACCTTGAGATGGGCCGGCAGAGAGATTAGAATGGTAAGGCGTTGGGCCCATGCCAGCCTCAGCCTCCTCATCGAAGGGGCCACGGTGTGGGCTGCGAGGGCTTGCTTGCGTCAATGTGATACTAGCACGAGGAGCCGTCTCGAGCGAGAGTGAGGGGATAGCCTCGCCCGCCTTGCGGCGACCACGAGTGCTCTCACGCTTGAGATCAGTACGCAAATGCTCGATATCGCGGTTGCGGTTGATTTCATCATCGTGAGAGCCCAGGGTGTGGTTGTCACTGTTATCCCAGACACCAATGCCGGCGGCAGGGGGGCGCGAGTTGAAGCCTTCAGCGGCCTGAGCCTGGCTCTCTTCAGTGTTCCCCTGCTTTGCGGTTGGGACCATGCGAGCTTCATCAGCAGCCTTGGCAGCCTCATCACGGCTGTTCTTGGCGAACTCATCGGTGACAGTAACAGAGTAAGAGGGGTTTGTAGGTCCACCAAGAGGCTCGCCGCCACCACCAGGAGCGATAAGAGGCACCTTCTTCAGAGCCAGGGCAAGTGCACACATGAACTTAGAACGGCGGGTGGCGCGGACAGAATCGTTATGCCAGTTGGACTTGTGAGCGATGGTAACATAGAGCAGAAGCTTGTCGAGGTTACCGACACCGCCAACGCTAATGCTAAGATCAGGCTGGAAGTCACGAGCGTTCTCGGGTTGTCGAACGAACTTCTCCATCTCGAGGCGGAGAAGTTCAATGTCCTCGAATGAGGTATCGAAAGAAACGTTGACTTCGACGGTTTCGTGCATGGCCTTGCTACGGGAGATATTTTCGATCCAGATGTTGTTGAGCTGAATGTTGGGCACTTGAACTGTTTGCATGGTGTCGAGTCGGTGGAAAACAGAGTAGAGGAGGGAGATCTTGTTGACAACCATCCTGGTGCCGGTGATGTCGACACGATCACCGACATCGTAGGGGTGCTTGACGAAAAGGAAGATACAAGAACCGAGAAACTCCTGGGCAGTAACCGCGAAGATGAAAGACAGAGAAAGCAGGGTAGTTCCGGCAGTGGTAAGAGTGGTGATGAAGCTACTCTGGAAGAAAGCAACTGAGTGAATTATTAGTGAAATTCAAAACACACATGAGGTGGGACTTACGGAAAACGAAAATAACGACCAACAGGACGACGACAAGAAGAATCTTATCAAAAGCCTGAAGAGCCTGACCAATATCCTTCATACCCTCGGCGATTGCCTTTCTCTCTGTGCCAATTTCGACAACCTTTCGGACCATCTCATCGAGACTAATATCACCATTGTCGTCACCGTCAATCATGTAGAATGATTCCTCGGCTTCTTCCTTGTAAGCAGGTCCAAGAACCTCCTGGAAGTCGTCCAGAACAAGTGAGTTGTGACCCTCGACAACGTAAGACATCCATATACGTCGACCCATTGCCTCAGATGACTTAGTCTTCTCAAGAGCTTCAATGACGATGGAGTGAGCTGAGTTGGGGTTGAAAACCTGTCGGCCAGCGATCTCAGAGGCAAGGTTGCCGAATACGGAGGTGACCTTGTCTCCGATCTTGCCAACCTCTCCAATGAGCTTCATGGGGGTGGCAGAGCCGTTGCGCTTGTGTCCCTTCTTACCACGGAGCATCACCTCAATGCTATCATTAATGATGGCATCCTCATCAGCGAACTCGTGACAATGGAGAGGGAAGAGGGTTCGGGAAGCATCAAAAAGAAGCCCAAGCAAGTGAACCTCACGCTTGGACTCCCTGATACGGTTGGCGAACGATCGCTGATGGTAGGAGATACCGATCAGCTGGACAATTGCTTTCTCGCCAAGGAAGACAGCTGAAGAAACGAAAAGAGCACCGAGGACACGGCCCATAGTGCGGACCCATGGGACGTAGTTCTTGCCTCTATCTTCCTCCATCCAGAGGTTCTTGAAAGTGACATAAGAAGCCAAGGCCCAGAAGAAGAAGGAGAAAGGCAGGATGAGGTTTCCGAGGACAGTTGCGTACTTGCGAGTACCCTTGCTGACGACGCCAGTAAAGAACATGAAGAGCGAGGGTAAGAACCAAGCAACAACCTTGGCGACCCAGCATGAGAGCCACATGATGAGAACCCAGAGGAAGATTTTGAAGAGCGGAGGGCCGTCATCGCCAGCTCTGTCACCGTCTCCGTTCCATTTACCGACAGGAATGCCATCCTTCTTGCCAATGGCGGCGAGGACAATCAGAGGAATGGCCAGGAGAAGACCGACGGGGACGACGTATACAAGGTATCGGGTTACAACAGAGAAGCCGATAATTTTGTAGTAGAGTCTTCCCATTGGGTTCAAAGTTGTTTCCTCTCCTCCGGTACCGCTACGAGAGAGGCCATCACCCATTCTCCTTCGACGGCCGCGGTGACCTTGACCGGTGAGTTTTTCGTCTTCGGTGGGAGAGTTGCTATCCATGGTAGAGGGTTGAGGCATGTCGGCCTTCCTCATACCACTCCGGGCAGAGGCATTGCTCTTGACCGGCGTCAGCTGAATGCCGTCGCCCATTTCGTTATTGCTGTTGCTGCCACCAAGGGGAACGAAGCCTGTATGAGAGTGACGCGAATTGCGAGGGGATAAAGAAACGTGGCGGTTAACCATTCTCGTGTGTAGTTATATATCAAACTCCAACCAGGGAGTCGAAAGTGTGGGAGTATTCGATGTGGTGGCTCGAATACTTCGAGTCAAGAGGTGATCGACCCGTTGGCGTGAGTTGAGGCCGATGATGAAACCGATAGGCGTTTGAAGATTGCAGGTCGGGCAGTGCTAGCAGGATATGAGATGGTGGTAGGATATCAAATCCTTAGTCGCAATGATCTGCTTGCGCTCGTGGGGTGTCTAGGAATCAGGTAGGAATGGGGATGATTATCTTTCTGCTGAAGACTTGCTCCAAGCTAGATATGCCAATTCTCGGCTCAATGCTGTGATGTATGCCGATGATGTAGTGGATTCAAGGAAATAAATGCAGACAAAACGCTACAACGATCCTATATGATTCTCCTCCCTTTTTTGCAGGTATAGGACAAAGAACGAGGGTGATCTGCCGTCTTCTCCAGCGAAGACGGACAGGATCAAGTTGGTGGTTATTGGTGCTACTTGGGTTGAGGTGAGGGACCGAGAGAGAGAGAGAGAGAGAGATCAAATCTAGAAGCTAGGAAACAAACAAAAGATGGGAAGCGATTAAAAGAAGGGCAAGCCTAGACCAGGGGTGGGAGGGCCGTGGTTATATTAGGGACTGGAACGAGTGTCGGTGGAGAAATGATGAAGAGGAAGAAGAGAGAGAAAGGGAACGCCTAGAAAGAGAGGTTGAAGTCAATCATTGACGAACGAGGTTTCGGAGATCATGGATTAGGTGGGTGTTCCTTGTTCCTTCCCTGTCGGACTTGGCTCTTGCTCAAGCTCGTGTGAGTGCGAGATATTTAGAAATTGCACTGTGACATCCACTGTCATGGTGTGCTTTTCCTGTTTTTACTAGGCCATGTTCTGTTGCTATTTGAGGTTTGTCCGCCTTGCCATCCAAGCACAATCCTAGAAATACCAAGCCGGGACTCAGATACCGTCAGCAACAAAAGGGGTCCCCGATTGTTTTTTTCCCACTTACAGGCGGGTCATGGCTCTGGAGAAGGGGCCGTGAATCCACCAGCAGCGCGTCTTCAGTCATGGCGAAAAGCCAACCGCCCACTCTAGTTTTTCTCCCGGTATGGACCAAGTCCAATTTGGTCCTGGGCCCCTAGGGCCCTCAGGGCTCCTCTCTCGCTGGATCATGAGCCCTATCAGCTGAAAAAGGATCCGCGACAGGGTCCCCAGACACTGGGCACCTCTGAAAGTTTTTCCTCTTTCACTTTTTTTCTTTCATCTGCTGTATGCCGGGCTTCAGGGGCACCCGGCCCCCCCCCCCCCCCCAAATATCGGCGTTTATCCAGTAATCTTTCAGAACGGCAACGGTTCTCAACGCCGGGTCAGGGGGAGGCGCCGCCCCCCGGCAGCCACAAACAACCATTGACAGGCTGGTCTCAGATACCCCTTTGTTTCACGTCTCCAAATCGGGCTGGGGTGCTACGCGGCCGAAAAGTCAACACATAGGCGAAATACTGTACAGTGCAGCTTTCTGTTATGACAAGAAATAGGATTCAACCAAGGATGAGACGTGGGCTTATACGAACATGATTTGGCATGCAAATGCATGACATTTCACAGCTTTGACAATCAATGTCTGTGTATGTCTGGGTTTGCACGTCTAAAACACCCGACCACCAACAGGCCATACGTTTACACCGCAACAAGAATATCTTTACCATGATCAGAAGACGCATACCCAAGGAAGGGAAGAAACATAACAAAAACTGGAGACCAGAGGCGATTCTCGATACGAGAGATCAGTCAATCATCGATGTAAAGCACCAAAAATTAACATCTAACCGCGTCTTCCCCATATTTATTCCACCCACTACTATCCACCAAGAAAGCTTCAAGCTCCCAAGATGTCCTTTCGTGGCAACGATTTACACCTGAGATCTCAAGGGGTCCATATACCGATCCCACATCGGGAGCTGACGTTTTGACGCCAGTAACCGTCACAGTGAAACACGGTATGAGTTCTCCCTGATCAGTGATGGCTCGAGTGTTGTTGAAAGAGTCGGCCATTCTTGACATGGTGAGAATCGTTACGAAAACTTCTTATTCGATGTTCGACTTGCAAAGTGTTGATGGCGGCTCAACAAGTTGTAAGCTAACGGTTAGCCTCTCGTGCCTTCAACGGCTGAGTTTCCTTTTTGTGTTAATGGTCCCCGACTAGCACACCTTTGGATAACTGACGCGCAATTAAGACATTGAGAAGACAAGACGAAACCAACCACTTTTCTTTTCGTCATTCCCGGTCATTCTAGCGTCTACGCCACCAGAGAATGAGGGTGTTGATGAAAGCCGCCAACTGCCGCAGCGCTTGGCAGTTGGTATCTTTAGACGAAGCTTGTGTAATCTGATCAAACAGCTTGACGTTGATGTCAAAGAACATACTGAAGATGTTTCCTATGACGTTGCCTATGGATATCTCATTATGGTCATTTCATCCTCTACTCCATGATATCTTCGGCTCACAGCCACCATATACCAAGACTTATTTCCAGCTCCAAGCCCCTCTCATCTTGCCACTGGTTCAGAAAAACAAAACGAACCATGATATTTTACCCCTGTAGATACCAAGTGACCTCAAGTCATGCTATCCCGCATTAGCTTGTGTCAACGTGTCAGAATAAGGGTGACGGCAAGAAAGAAAAAAACGCTCGCTAGCCCACGCCTTGACCTCCATCCACTGTCACGGAAGTCAAAGTCAAATTGCAAAAAAGTCGAGACCGTGAATTGTTTTTCTTTTTTGGGTTTTATGGATTGAAAGGGTAAAGTTTGCGGGTATATGAAACGAGTTGAGGAAACGTTGATATTAATCGAGTTTCCCCTATTTTTTTCGCAATGCGACATTAAATTCAGTTCATCTCCCGGTGCCAAGATTGTGTCTTTGCTATAAGCTGATGGAGTGTAACCCTACCTACACTGACACTGAGAGCTGGGACGACGTTGAAACTGGAACTTGAGAGGACCGATAGTTTGGGTCATCACTCGGCTTATTCCACCTACCGCATTTCCTTTCTTACTCTTTCAACTTTAACTTACTACTATAATGTTCTGATATTATCATCTTCAACGGCCATTCTCACAGTTGCTAATCTGCTGGACCCTTCATGTCTCACTCCTCACCCACAGTGCCCATCCACCTTCGACAACGCAGTGTCGATCCCATTATTCACGAGGAATCCACGTACGTCGATCAACAGTCTCCGCTTCAACCAGCAACAACAACAAAATGCAACGTGATCTGATCGATCAGACATCCCCGGAAAAGCTTGACCGTGCTCTTGCTCTACTATAGAAACGCCCAAAGACTTCTCACTCCCCAGTTCGTATCGTCGTGTATCGTGAACGAGAAGAAGCTATGTGCGTCACTCACTAAGCGCGCGCGCAAACATCATGACGTTGAACAAGAACTTCTATGGTGTGTCTCCTCGATTAGACGCCCATCTCGGCCTCGGCATTATCGTCTCACTTCCTAATTCAGTTCTGTCACTGAGCATATCAACGCCTTTTGGGCATTTATCTCTTTCCAACCCATCCGAATGTTGATCAAGTGGAGATGGTGATCATCTCCCGAGGCCCCGAATGAGAATGATGGAATTTCCACCTCTAGCCAAGAAGTGTTCAGTTGAGAAGCCCGCTTCACTTTCCGCTATCACGACGTCACTCACATCAAACTAAAGAGCTCGGCGAATTTCAGCTTCGGACTTTGATGAATAACGATCAAAGACGTAAATTGCACAAAAGACGTCGACCATTATCAACAACTAGTCTCTCTCTGACGTCACTTGACTAGAAACCAAGACACTCATTTCTCCTCTTTCGTGGGGTATTCATCTCCTTTAGTGAAGACAAGGTCCAATTCCATTTCGCTTGCTACTTTCTCGTGCAGGGTATCATAAGAGTACAGTACAGACAAATTCTCCAAATCAAGTCTTCCAAAAACAACGCCAAATGTCGTGATATCACAATCTCCACCATCAACCTCATCGTGTCGTCTGAACTCCTGACGTAAGTCCAATTGTATCCTTCAACTCAACTTTTGCCTTGTCGTTCTCATAGCCAAAGTCACTGCTGTGGCTATCCTCGGGTTCGCCAACTGTGTCAAACTGATACAGAGGCTCCAGTCTTACTTCTCGTTGGAACAAGATCCATCTCCTGATCCACCAGGGAAGCACCTTCGTCACTTGATATCTCATAAACACGCGCGTGGGTACTGCAAAGATGTAATCCAGCTCCTCTAGTGTCCGCTGCTTTGTCTCCGGTAACAGCAAGAAGATCATAACCAAGGCGACAATGTTGAAACCAGCATACATTCCAAATGCGCCGATAGCATGCAACCTCGCCAGCATAAGTGGGAAAGTAATAGACAACACCGCCGCCCAGAAAAGGCACGTTGCCACAGCCCACGACATGCCCACTTCACGATGCGACAGAGGAAACACCTCGGCTGAGTAAGTAAAAGGTACAGGACCCTCGCCAGGTGAGTAAAAGGCCGCGAAAAGATAGACGAATAAAGCAACCAAAGCCATATGCACTCCACCTGTGCCTGGGATCAAAGTACATAGACCTGCTGCAAGTAGTGTCCATGCCATCTGAGGAAAGGTGAAGAGTAATAGAGATCGACGACCAAAGGTGTCTATCGTCCATATTGCAGGCCACGCAAAGACAAAATTAACCAGTCCGAAACCCATCGACGCCAGCAGAGCTTGGTTATCATCGGCGCCTGCATCTCGGAACACACTGGTCGAGTAGAACGCGATGATGTTGATCCCACACATCTGCTGGGCAATCATGACGACGAATGAGGCTACAGTAGCACGACGCACGCGGGGAATCGTGAAAAGTTCGATAAAACGTTTGGCATAGTGTGCCTCGCCAATGAAATCCAGTTCGACCTCGAGTTGCGCATGGATATAGTATAGATCGCGGGCGGCCTGAATTGGGTGGTTTCGTAGTCGTAACAGGGACTTCATCGCATCTTGGTAACGATTCTTCTTCATGTACCAACGCGGAGATTCTGGACAAAAGTAAATCAAGCACATCAAGGGCACAGCCGGGATGAACGCTGAGCCTAATTGAAATCTCCAAGCGTTGTGACCGATTTTCGTTACAGCGACGTTCGCACATGTCCCTAGGAAGATGCCGAAAGCCGTCCACATCTGCCAACTCATGACAAAGGCTCCTCGAATCGGGGCGGGCGAGTTTTCCGCGGCAAAGATGGGGACTGTATATCACATGTCAACTACGAGGCCCCCAACAACGTGCTTGTGATTCAGAGACATAGAAACTTACCTGTTGAAGCCTTGGTACCCATTCCAATACCAAGTAATACACGACACGCAAAAAGCTGTCTCCAGCTGTTACAGAAAGCGCTTCCAATGACAGGCCAGAGGCAAAAGTTGGCCGAGAAGAATATCGTGCCGCGACGACCCCAACGGGAATTCAGGGGATCCGAAAGCCAACATCCAAACAGAGCTGTTCCGATATAAGGGGCAGAGTTGACGAGACCAACGAGGAGCTTGTCGTGTATACTTTCGCTGCCTATATCGAAAGCATAAGGAAACTCGAGGTTCGCGCCGTTGGAGCCTGTTTGGTCCCATCCTTGTACGGCGGCGCCGATGGAACATGTCGCAACGGTCAAGTACAGAACAAAAGGGACCCGCCACTTGTGGAGGATTTCGTCTCTGAGCGCCTGTATCTCTATGTCGTTGAGCTTTTCATCTCCGTCGATATCCTCATAACCAGTAGGGTCCTGTGCAACAAGAGCGCCCTTGCGAATGAGGGGACGGTACTGTTCTAGTTCTTTTTTTCGGCAAAAGTCATCAACATCAGCTAGCAGTCTTGCTCGTGGAAGACCCCACAGAGGATTCTTGATTCTTGAGTGATGTTAGTCATGAAAGATGGGGTGGACGTGCCGAGGTTGAGTGAGCGTACTTGGCTTCAATGTTTGCATGAAGGTTGACATAAGCTTCTGAAGGACGCCGTGCATGTTCTATCATGGAACTGGAAGGATATTCATTGGTGGTCCTTGACAGACTGAGAGTATTGATCAGCATCATGATCAGCAATACGTTAGCAAGGGTAGATCATACCGTTCTATGTCGTCTTCGCCGCGATTCGGCGCCATATTGTGTTATAGAAAGCCAGTGACTGATGAGGTGAGAGTGGGTGACTGAGGCGAGTTAAGAGTAAGATGAGGTTGGTCGGAGGAACGGGCGATTGCCCGATTGAGAAGAGACAACACCAGGAGTAATGTTGTAGTTAACAAGTCTTGGGTGGGTTAAAAATGAGACGAAGCGTGGTTATCACAGATAGTCGAGTCAAGTTGATTGATGAGTCCTGTCAAATGTTTCTAGCGGGTGTCGTCGGTCGATCGCTTCAAGATGTGGGGTTGGAAGCTGGGGAGATGAGAAGAATGAGGCACAGTCAACGCCAAAGCCGAGGAAAAGAGAGTGAGTGATAACTGTTTAGTTGTCGCAGTGATTGGGAGAGATTAGACGTGAAATAAGTATTAATAATACACATGAACCATCGCGCAGCTGATTTGAATGATTTGTCGTGGATTTGGTCAAAGAGTTTGGAGGAGGCAAAGTTGATGAGTTGAGTCGAAGGATCCAGGCCTTTGGTTTGATTAGCCTAGCCGAGTCCAGTCGAGTCTGGGGTGAGACGACGAGACTTGGTCCGGGCACTAAGAGTTACTGTAGTACTGGACCTAGGACTATTGGCAGTGTCTTGTTAGTGATGGGGATAATGCACTAAGAGTGGCGGTACTCGTCTGTATTACATCAAATTTCAAGTTCACAAGGAAAAGACAATAAAATGTTTGGTTGAAGGGATTTACGAGAAAGAGGCTGCGCTTTATTCGGGCTTTGGCCGGTGACCCAAGGACAAGGACAAGACCAAGACCAAGACCAAGACGGGGAAGACAGGGCAAGGGACAGGGTCTGAATGACAAGGGTCTTGACTTCGGTTCGTTATTTGCAGGGGTTATCAACTTCCCAAGACTTCTCTTTGGGACCAAACAACATTGGCAGTTCGTTATCTTAATGTTGACTTGATAACGTATTTGTTTATATTGAAGTTGATTCCCTTCTCATCTCTTCTTCTTGTGGAGAGTCTGTTGTCCCATGGCTATGTTAGTTAGATACAACATCGCATTCTCAGCATTCATATGCCAAATCAAGACTCATACCAACCTCTGTTGGTTTATCTTTGTCTCTATGAGACCCAGTTTAAGACTCTATTGCTGTAACATTGAACTACCATCTAAATTACATACTGTGATAATTCAAGGTTAATATCTTCAATATGGACTCTTATGCTGGCCCGGTACCTTGGACGAGTATCTTCAGACAAGGCCCCCTTGTCTCGGTTCCATCGTCACAGTCCAAACTGTCTGACATCCCTCCATCCTTTCAGCCTCTCTGCAACCCTACTCAACATGCCGAACTTTTGTTCCGAGAGACAAGTCAGAGTCAAATAGCATGTTACTGTAACCAACATCTGCAATCATACCATACATGTCTCATGATCAAACCAAATTGACAGTCTTAAGAGTTGGGAGTCTCTTTTCATGATCCAAGACAATGAAATCAAGGGTCTTATAATTTCCCGGGCAAACTGTCTATAACAGTCATTGATCTGCGCAATCACACATCTCGAATCCTCCGGATGCAAGAGAGCTAGGTAATATCACTCGTTTCCGTCGTGAAGGATTCCCTTGGTCTTGGGAACAGCATAGATCTACATTGCATTTGCTTACACGGTTAACCGTTTTGGCTTATCCGTCCTTACACTCCTAACCGGCTCCGATTAAAGTGTAACGTTTGAGGGTTACACGTGATGCCACATGTAATCCAACGGTCCGTTATTGATTGTTTCTACTGCAGAGATTGATTTGAATAATACCGTTGAATAAAACGATTTCTCGTTTAAAGTTCCCAATTACCCCAGAGTTTCAATAATGACCTCATTTGCTGCTCTATCGGGCTGCTTGGCTTCTTCTTCAGCTCAAGGCAGCAGAATTCCCTGCATCGTGAGTGGACGTCCCCAGGGTAGCCTCATCTCCACCAACACCACAGACTCTTATCTCGATACCCTTTCTCCGGTCCTAGCTACGATATCCGACATCCTCTTGTGCGATCCCCAGATTCCCCGTGTTTTCTGAGATCCCTCCGCTCGTAAATCTGTCCAACCGTGAGATCGTAACATCAACTATCCACACCTACCAGAAAGGCTCTCTCACATGTAGAGAATACCACTATAGTAGTGTAATGCAATAACTATCGTGTAACATGCTTACATATTCTCGGAGTCGCCGATGCGATTTCCTCACCTTTATCTCAATTAGGATGGTGAACCTCCGAAAGATCCGAATATTATATACCGAAGGAGGCTCTTGTTAATGTTCTGTGACACCATCTTACATTATGTGTGCCCAGAATGCACATAACTGCATTGTATCGAGGTTCACATTCACCGCTACTTGAATCTCGATTTCTAAGGCAACCAAATCTTATTCACAGTAAATAAGTACCCAATATAAGCGACCATATACAAATATGCACCAACTCGCAAGGTATGAACCAAAAGAAACAACACCATATATGCCTGGAGAAAGAAATAAGCAAATGGCTCCGCTCAACAATGCCCGCCATTACAAACCTCGACAGTATTCCACAGAACATCATTTCTTGGGTACACCCCTCAGAATATCCGTCACCTTCATCCTCAGATCCATAAATGTCTTGTCCTTCTTGTCCAACTCTTCAAGTAACTTCTCATATTTGGCCTGCCACTCATCCGCAGATAATTTCGACGCTGATTCCGCAGACGTAGCTTCGGGACTCGGCTCTTTAGAATCCTCAAGCATCTCTACCGGTACAGCAATTTCCATCTGATATTGACCCCTGAGATGACCTAGACCATATATCCATTCACAGGTATACTTCATCGTACCGTCTTGCACGCCAACGCGTTTGAGCTTCGTCGTTCCAGCTAGGAGGTACCCGCCTCCTGTCATGGCAGCTAGGTTGATCAGAAACATGTCCGGTGATGCCGCCTTTCTGTACAAGTCTTCGAGAACCGAGTTGACGATCGCCATGGCTTCAGTCATTGAGCATGTGTGTGTTGGATTTCCTTCAGCATCAAGCCAATTTGCCCCGAAGACACTGCGCATCATATAACCGATAACCTCATCCACATTCGTCCGTTCTTCAAGCCTTTCGAAATATAACCTTGGAACATCCTTTTGTTGTGACATTGTTTCCTCAGCTTGCTGCTGGCGTGACGTAGTAACTTCGTTCGTAGCTCTTGCAAAATTTGATGATGTTCCGACGTATGTATGCGGATAAGGAGCTTGAGCTTCACTGGGACCATTGATGACCACGACTGGCGGAGGAGTTGCAAGTCTAACACTGCCCGATGGTCGCTCGGGAACTTGTAAAGATATACTCGGGCGAGAAGGCCTCGGCGGAGCAGGGGCAGGGGCAGGATGCGGCTTTGATGTTATCGAGGGGATCGAGAAAATATTCTCTGACTGTCCACTGTCTGCCCCTGGAGCTGAGACTGGCGGAGTACAAATGGGGGCTACGGGTTCCTCAGGAGCCGTTGCGGGAGTTGTGATGGAGAATGGAGGCAGAGAAACATCTATAGGAGTTCTGTTCATCGGTGGCCGTCCTCTGGGTTTGACACCACCGTTGGAAACTCCGGGTCTCCAAGCAGAAGACACATTCTTAGGACCTCTCCGCTGCGACGTAAGTCTCGGCTTCGACGGTGTAACAGCAGACTGTGGTTCAAGAGCATCATCCCAGAAAGACTTTCTCGAGTTCGGCGTAATAGCAGACTGCGGCCACCGAAATAGCGGCGTCTGCTGAGAAGCATCACTCGGAGTCCACGGTGCAGCGCTTAGCCTGGTGGGATCTGCTGACAATGACATTGACACAGGACCGCTTACGGTCTCAACAGCTGATGACGGTGCGAGGTGAGATCTCTGAGCGGGAGAAGTGGCTGTGTCATCGTCGACGGGACGTTTTCTACCTCTCTTTGGCCGTATGTGTGGGAAAAGAGCCCTCAGAGCCATGTCATCCTCGATAGCCACACCATCGCGGATAGGCTGGCTCGTAGGGTTACTGTCCGTAGGGACCCTTGTCCAGTAATCATTCGGGATGTCCATAAGATACTCGAAAAATGCCTTGACGTGCATGGAATTCATCCACTTCTAGACCAGTCTTTAGTGGGTAAACGTTGAGTTTGGGGGGGGGGGCTCTACATCACATACCTTTAACCTCACGCCATACTGTGCAACTTTTTGGGCGCTCTCCTCCTTGTTTGGGTCTGGAGGCTCAACACCAAGCTTAGTAGTCAATTCTGTCCATGTTCGGATCTCACTGTTGTAAAACTTGCGGACGAGGTCATAGATGGCGAATGTGCTGAAGGACTTGCCGCCACTGCGAGGAGGATTACGGAATGCTTCTCTCAGACTTGTCGTGTCTGTAGAGAGCGGTACTGCCGGGTTACAAACGAGAATAAAGTCAACGTAAGCATCTTCTACCGTGTTCTCGGAAACGCTGCGGTCCGGAAGGCCCGGGCGCGTGGTCGGAGGCGCAGCGGATCCGGCCCCCGATGCGCCGGGCTGAGGTGGAGGCTGAGTCTGGGCCGGACTCGGAGCCGGAGGAGAAGGAGAGGGCCCGGTTGCATTGTTGACAGAGACAGGTGACGGCATTTCGAGTTCATCTCTTCAGTTTTCTTGGCCGTGAGTAATTTAGCAGGTCTTTTACATAGTCGATTTTGGTGTTTCGTCTCATGTGAGAATTGGGGGTAAACAGAAACAGACAAGAGTGAGCCTGAAGGATAAGATTTGAGACATGAACTGGCTGATCCAACGGGGCAACCGTTAAACAAATGAACCAAGGTTGAGGAAAATCTCTTTGAGTAATAATGTCCCAGTTTAAGAGTGTAATAGCCTTACAGAAACCATTTAACGAAGAGTATTTCACGCGTTTCAGAAATGAAAGGGGGATGGATTCAAGTTGCAAATTAGGCCACCAAGCGATGGAGCAAAAGGGGCTAAATTTAGCAATTGGCCAGGATGAGGAGTTTCTGCTTACTTGCACTGTAGATCTATCTATCTCGTGTACAGTAAGACGACCGTGCACAATCAGGTTTTACCGTCATCATTTATCAAGCGAAATGCTTTTCTTTAACGTTAGTTACCTAGTAGTATGTATAATTCTTGACGCCATTGTATCCATGCCAATCTATTTCAACTCTAACAAACCCGTATAATTCCCGATTTGCTCACCCTGTAAATCTTATTGGTTCTCTTGACCACGTCAATTGGCAAACAAGCTCTGTACAGTAATCAAAACCCTTTACTAATCGACTGCACGCCCTTCTAGCCATGCCAATTGACCACCAGCCAACGGTTGTGCATCTTGGAATTGCGTGCTCAGTCACATACGGCCTCATAGCCAAGTTTGGTATGAGATGGTGAAGTGAGCTCTGTTCTGATTTGAAATCCACATGTTATGATGGTAACATCTGTCAGTGCATATGAAAAGTATAAAGAGCCGGATATGAAGCAAGTTGTTTTAGAAAGCATCTTCATTGATTCAACAATCTATTTAATTTAAATCATCAGATTTGATATATCTACCATTGTCTCTATTGTGAAAACTCACATCAGTTTCCCTCGGCATCTTGTATTACTCTGATATCTCTGGTCCATCTGGTCCATCTGGTACACTTGCACAGTTCTATAAGTCTTGATAATGGCCATCTCATCAACTATTCCCCGTGGCGACGTCACTGCAACTCTGAACTACTTCAATCCTCCCTCCGACAATTCAACTCCCTATAACCACGTCGACACTCCTCCCAAGGGTCTTCCCCAGCGCAACTTCACAGACAACCCTCAACCAACTGTCATTCACGACATCCGTGGTCATGAGTCCAAGTATCATCTAGACCGCGACGCCTTCCAAGTCATCCAAGACGTCCCACCCTCCAGTGAGATCGACTTCATCGACGATGATTCTATCAAGGAAAACTACTACCCAGAGCTTGAACAACTTCTCCTCCACAACGTCCCTGGCTCGAACAGGGTCTTCTTCTTTGATCACACTATTCGTCGCCAAACACCCAATGCTACTCGTGCGCCTGTGACTCGTGTACATATTGATCAGACAGCTGCGGCTGTAGCTCAACGAGTTCGCAGATACTTCCCCGATGAGGCAGACGAGCTTCTCAAGCATCGCTATCGTCTCATCAACGTCTGGCGACCTCTAAACAAGAAGCCCCTCGAGTCTTTTCCTCTAGCTGTTGCATCCTCTGCTTCTGTTGAAGACGACGATGTCATCCCTGTTGAGCACCGATACCCAGATGGTTACCGCGGTTGGACTGCAGCTATCCAACATAACCCTGAGCAAAAGTGGTACTATCTCAGCGGTATGACGGGCAGCGAGAGGCTGTTGCTGGAATGCTTCGATAGCGAGTCTCTTAAGCCTGGATCTAATATCAGAGGTCGTGTGCCGCACACTGCTTTTGAAGATCCCAGGACTCGGGCTGAGGCGGAAGGACGTGAGAGTATCGAGGTTCGCGCATTGGTTTTTGGTCCTTGAAGTTGCTTTGCTTGGAAGGGAAAAGAAAGAGCATGGCATTGGAGTTTATGATATTATGAGTTGAACTAGTCGCAATTAAATCGATATAACAAGCATGACATTTCTATTTCTATTCATCGAGTCTCAGCCCGGTGGGAAAAGTGAAAACATAAAAAACATATCCATTGCTGATGTTTCAGCTCGTTTCTTTATCCACAAGCCTTGAGTAAGACTCATCCCAACCTGATGAGTCCGTTTAACAGATCCCACACCGTCCGCTGATAGTCTTTCGGACTTTCATGAATCCATATGCCGCCGTAAGCCAAATCGATGCTACGCCTTTGCGCCGCGCTTGCAATACTATAAAAGGAGGTCATTTGCGCCGCGAGAATCTCTAGTTCTTACGTCCCTTGCCACGCGTACTGCTGCTACCCTGACGGCTCATGGCAACTCCGCCGGCACTGCTCTGGCGACTCATAGGCACTGCGGCACTGGACAGAGCTGCTACCGAAGTAGCTGCACCAGCATGTGCTGGGCTTGGCTGATCTCGAAGGCTGCTGAGAGCTGGTAGACCCAATGAATCGCGAACATATTCTGGGTCTTCTCTAGGAGCGCTAGTAAAGGCGACATATCGTGAATGCTGGTAAGGTATTGAGACAGCTGCGAGAACCCTGCGCATTCCAGTTGGGCGATCAAGGTGAGCTCCTGGCTTGTGTGCAGCGTCGTATTGCTTGAAGAAGCCCATGATCGTAAGGTCGGAAGTGATATCGTCATTGGACAGGGGTACAGGGAAGTTCTGGTCCGCTGTACGAGGGTAAGGCTTGAGATATTGCTGAGGAACCGGAGGTGGCATCTTGGGGGGTTCGTGGGCGTGGAGAATATCCAAGTTGTGAACCTCGAAATTGGTGATACCCTCTAGACCTAAAATCTTGTCGTCAAGCAAGTTACCGCCACGAGTGCTGCGGGTGGCGTGCGAGACGGAGCGCTCCATAGCTGGGGCAGAAGGTTGAGAATCGGCGTCCTGGTCGCCATTGGCTTCACCATTGCCAGAATCGCTATCCTCGGGAGAGCCGCCGCCACTGACACGGTTGCGAAGAATGTACTGGTGCGCAGCAAGGGCAGCAGTGTTATAGTTAAGCGACAGCTCCTTGTCCGTGAAAAGCTTGTCGATGCTGTAGATGGGTCCGTTCTGCTTAGCAGCAGCACGAGCCTTCTCAGACTGCCAGAGAGGTGTTGTGTTGTGGTTATCGAGGGCTCGTCGTGTCGGGGCAGGTGAGCCATCGTCATCGCCGGCGTTTCGCTTGCGCTTCTTGTTGTCGGAATACATCTGCAGATCGTCGGCGTCCTTGCGCAGACGTGTGGCTCGCTTTCCGTGGGGACCACCGGGGCTCGCAGGATTGGTCAAGCTGAACTGATTGGGGTTGAGTAGCAAGGCATTGGAATCATTAATTTCCAAAACCTCTTTCTCTCGGTTCAATCGGTTCTTCTTGTGGGTGAGGGTGTTGACCAATCGATCTCGGAGGGTGTTGGTAAGTGCTCGATGCTCGCGCTTGGCGGTCTCAACCTTGTAATCGTAAGTGTTCCTGTATTCTTCTCGTCGTCGGTCGTATTCGTTCTGTTTGGATGAATGGTTAGCAAGGCACTTGGTTGTGTGTCATGGGACGGTTTCTTACTTTTGACTGCGACAGCTGAAAGTCACGAATTTCCACCAAATCCTCGACCTCGTCAACGAAGTCAGAGAATCGGATGCCAGCCATGTCAAGCAAGCTCCGGGCATCTTCAGCGTTGACCGGAGGACCTTGTGTGTTGGTGTGCTCCTTCTGGAGTTCAGAGATGACCTCAAGGACCTTTGGATCGTAAGGGTCGAAGCGCTGGACGAGATTGATGTCGAACTGGATCTTCTGGAGCTGATCGCGATATGTCATGTCCCTTTCCCGATAAAACTTATCAGTCATGCTAGAGAGTCGCTCTATAAGAGCTTGTCGCTTGCGATCTCTTTTTGACTGGGAAGCGGGAGCGGGAGAGCGTCGGTCGGATCGGCTGGCCATGTTTGCAAGGGCCGCTGCTTCGTTGGCGGCCATTGCAAATAGCTTTTGGGTATGTGTAAGTGGTTTCTGATGTTTACAAGAATGCTTCTGTAGGCTTCAAGTAAAGAATTCAGAAAGGTGAGAGTCGTGCTATCTGGTGATTGTGGGTTCAAGGTTGAGGTTGTAAGGGTTGGGAGAGTAAAGAGTCCATGCAACTTGGGATAAAAGAGCTGAGTGCAAGTGAAAGAAATGGCCAAGACAAATAGATTCAGAGGGAGTCTACTCCACAACAAGTCGGAGACTTATTGGTTGGGAACGGTAGAATAGAGCAGGCAAACGAACAATTGCCAGCGTCAGTGCCAGTGCAATGCAATGCAATGACAATGTGGCAGTGGAAGTAAAGCAACCTGGAAGTGTTTCTAATGTCTCGGCTCAAACTGGGAGAGACGCAGGCCCAGAGAGGCATGACCTCGCCGGGGCGCTTGGTAGTGACCTCACCGCCTACTGCAAACGGCAGTTTAAGAAAATAGTGCCCCGGGCCGATCTTGTCGTGCGGTCAGTGGAGTGATTGGCTGTGCGGCCGCAGTGCTAGATACTGTACTTAGACGGTCAACGCTAGAGCTTAACCTTCAGCTGGGACAATAAGAAATTCAGTGGAAAGAACAGATTTTATAGCTTTCAGTTTATGAGTATATGTTATTGGTTCAGAGACCTCCTCGAAGCTTGTGCAACTGGCTAATCAGTCCAAATCCACCTGGTGACTTTGTATCCTCTACCACAGTCGCTGCAGCATCTCTCGTGACACTTCCTTTCCGTGGCCGTGATTCCACTTTAGTCTTTTCCTTGGTCTGCTCCATTTCCTTCATTAGGTCCCGGTGTTTGTCTTCGACCATCTTGGCAAGACTCTCTATAAACTTATTTCGTCCCTTCTCCTCTGCTGTATCTTTCCACACACGGTTAAGCTCCTTGAGCTGTTCAATTCTTTGTGCTGCCTTCTCAATGCCTTGAACAGGGTCATCAGACTTGTTCAATAGGTCTGATATCTCGTTTCGGGTGTTCTTGAGTACTTCCTTGCCCTTTTCCTCTGAACTTTGTTGTGCTGAACCTGGCTCGGGTGCTGATACTGAGAGGAAACCGGAGCTGACAGAGATCTCTGATGGTGGGAAGACGAATTCCATAGCATCTCCGAACGTTTTGATAACTGAGTCCAGGCGTGCTCGCACAAGAGTTAATGTTTGTAACTGCCTGATAAATTCAGGGTCATCTGGATTGGCCCCGTCATTGGTGACAGCTGCAGCAGTTGTTGACGGTGCCGCACTCCGGTCTTCTTTAGCAGCGGCCGCTGCGGCATTCTTTGTCTCGATGGCTTCTTGCAATCCTTCGGGAACAAACTTCTTGATGTCGTCATGAAGCGTCTCATTCATAGTTTCCTGGAGACTCAACGTCTCGCCTCGTAGTAGCTCCACCTCATAGGCCAGGCGACTCCCACTTCTCAAGATGTCATCCGTAAGATGTGTAAGAGTAGTTGACAGCCGTGAAGTCTGGGCGTTGAGCTGTGACATGAGAGTCTGAGCTTGTGTGGACAGCTCAGCGAGGGGTGCGACATCTCCGGTTCGGCCAGATATAGAGCGCTGCTGCAGTGGAGGGAGAGTTGAGTTGAGGAAAGTTGCGGGATCAAATGTAGGGTCTAGAAAGTCTTGTAGAAATTCATCTGATGTATGTGTTGACTTTGGCTGGATAACAGCTCTTGACTTTCGTCTGGTGTGTCCTGGTCTTGTAGCTGCGCTGCTTGTAGCCCGTCGACGGCCAGTTTTTAGATCGGTAGCCATCTCTGATAAGCCTTCACTGTCTGGACGCTCTCTATTCTCTCGATTTTATGAATATCTGTCGTTATAAAATTGGCTTAGAAGTCTCAAGGGGTATGGTTTCTGAGTGAGCTATGTTGGCCACTTTGGGCCGTTGGCACTGAATGCATGGCCTAACCGATGATAACCCGGTTGCCCAAAATCACTTACCCTCCACTTACAACAATCATCACCACTCTCTTGGCGACAGACTTACAAAACCTCATACAAAATATGAGTGATTCACAAGAAGAAATGAAGATTGATCCCTCCAGGGCTCAGGCTCTTGTTTCTCAGCTTAATTCCGTCAAAGACCGTATTGCTGCCGTAGCAAACGGTCGAAATGTATGCATGACACTCACACTCGCATTCAAACACCAATAAATATACCCCGGCTTACTTTTATGTCAGGTCCGACTTGTTGCTGTCTCAAAGCTCAAGCCTGTAAATGACATTCTAGCACTTCACCAGGCTCCTACTTCTCATACTCACTTTGGTGAGAACTATTCTCAAGAGTTGACCCAAAAGGCAGCTTTGCTTCCGAAAACTATTCAGTGGCATTTCATCGGTGGTCTTCAGTCAAGTAAGAGGCCTGACTCACACGTATGGAACCACGCATACTAATATGATTTGTTAGGCCATTGCAAGTCCTTGGGAAAGATACCTAATCTCTTCTGTGTCTCAAGCATAGATACTTCAAAGAAGGCCCAGCTTCTCAACACTGCGCGCACCAATCTTCTCTCTTCACAGCCTGATCTTGACAAGATTGGTGTCCACGTTCAGGTCAACACATCCGGAGAAGAGGCCAAGTCCGGCTGTGCCCCCGGTGAAGAGACTGTTGCTCTATGCCGTGAAGTCATTGAGAAATGCCCCAGCCTCCGTTTTCTCGGTCTCATGACCATCGGGGCTATTGCTCGCAGCAAGGCCACAACCGCTGAGACTGAGAATGAGGACTTTGTTACTCTCAAGGAGCAGCTAGATCTTGTGGCTAAGGAGCTTGGTTTGGATAAGGATAGCCTGGAGTTGAGCATGGGTATGAGTGAGGATTTTGAAGGTGCGATTCGCTTGGGAAGCAGTGAGGTTCGTGTAGGTAGCACTATTTTCGGGCAGAGGCCAGCTAAGGCAGATGCGAAGATCAAGGAGTAAATAGCGAGTTAATAGAAAGCCAAACCCATTCAAGTCCCCCCGCTTCAAGTTGATGGGATCCTTCAGTGCCCTAGCAACTGCTCCATCGTCTTCACTGCTTTATTACATCTTCATTTGCATCATATTCATTCAATTTACAATGAGAGATCGTGGTATATAACAACTGCATTCTCCTTGATCAGATCACTCCGCACAGCTTCATCGCCTTGTGCGGTGAAGAGGGACTATACAAGTATCAACGCAGACAACGTTTCAGCCAATAAACGATTGGCTTTAATTGAGCGCTTCCTCCGATTTCATGCTAGTACCCCAACGCCCATATGCTTCTGTGGTATTATAACAACTCCTGTCCGGCGAATATATAGAAGGTAAACATCATGTTCTCCCATCAAGTCACCATCACATTACGGAAAGAGTCCGAAATCTGCTCCCGCGAAGGTGGCTCGAATCGATCAGGACCCGTTGAGATTCCTGCAGCAAGGCGTTCTTGCATATACTTCAACAAGACCGCCGGCACGGAATCATCTGTGGCACGGATAGTCAATCGAATCATCTGATGAGCAGTTAGAATATGCAACGTCCTAAGCGGAATGGTTCGACTTACCTGCTGTCCATAGTTTGGCTCCAGTCTCATCAGGCAACCAAACTTGCCTCCTTGAGATGTGTGCAGCACACTCGCACCAACAACGTTCTTCGGGTTGGGATCAACCATGTCGAGCACACGCCATCTGAAACCCTCCACTGTCTTTGTAACAAAGCTCTCTGTGATTTCTCTGTCGCCTTTGCCACTGACTCCAAAAATGGCCTGCGCCTCTCGAGGGGCACCACCAATCTGCTTCCATCTCTTGAAAAAGTCCTCAGCAGTCAACTCTGCCGGATCCATAAATTTGTGTATAGACACAGGAAGCTTGAGAGTAAGTGCCTGTAGTGCACCAGCCAGGTAGCTGATGCGCACGGTCGGACTCTTCTCAAAAATCTTCTTTGCTTCAAACATAACAACTTGCTGGGACTGTCCACCTTGCACGATGGTACTATCAGGGAGGTTTTTGACGTCCCAGGTGAGGTTCTCTTTTTCGTTCTCGTCCAGATCCAATGTCGTTGTGAAGGAACTGATAGTTACTGGTGTCTTGTTCTTAAAGTATGTGATCAAGCAAGCCATCTGGCCACGATATTCTGATCGAACACCGATCTGCAACTGACCATCTTCGTATAGAACGCCGTCTGATCGAACAAGAAGTTTGTTGAATCCTTGCTCCCATCCTGGTGACAAATGAGCTGCACTAGCCAAGTTAGGGGCCTTGAGCATCTTTGGTTCCGATGGTGTAGGTGCGTTGAGGTCGAGCCCAGCCAAATCGGCAACACCATTGCCGTGACCGTTTGTGCCGGCTGCAGCCTGGCCATTCGGTTTGCCGTTCAGTGGCACATTCGAGCTGAAAGTCCTCTTAAGTGCTCCAGTCCCCATGCTAAGTTCCCGAGCATCCGCATTGGCGTCCTTTCCTCCCACCACCCAGGTCCTTCGGTCGCTCGTATTGGCATGTTTCTGGTGTAGTCTTGAGAGGAGTGCAGACTGACGTTCAGGGAAAGGAGGCATTTCATCGCAAACTGTTCGAAGGAGGTCGTCCGTTGGCATATTCACAAGGGTCAAGTATTCGCAAGCTCTCTGCTGGAGCTCAGAGTCCAGATTGTGGCTGTGAAACTCAAACACGTGAACAAGCTGAGGCTTGATTTCCGGGAACAAGTTGACATATTTGACGAAGCATGAGAGGATCATGGCACGAGTACTCGAAGAGCATGCCGTCAACTTGCCCTGAAGAGCCATGAACTGCTCAATGGGACTGCAACGAGGCTGATCGGCGACCAAATGACCAAACTCTCCCAATATATAGGCGCCGATCTTGACCAGAGTCTCATGGCAGTGGTCACCCTTGACATATTGTAGCGCATTTTGAGCTGCGTAAACCTGGAGCTCCTCGTTGTTTGTCACAATCTGAATAACTCGCTGCCATACCTCATCGCTGACATGGTCTCCAGCCATGGCAATTAGTCTGAGAGAGATATCAACATACCACTGCACATCAGTAGCGTACTTTTCCGTAAGAATGGCGATCTTAAGGACCATTTCTTCTCGGATAGCGAAGTCGGCATTCTGTAAGTAGTGCAGTAGCTCACCAACGATGACCTGGGCATTTGTGGCGTCACACATGCTGTAGAGTAAATCCAGACCCTTACGACGGACACTGATATCTCGATCTTTGAGCGAGCCAAGAATAATTTCTTGGTGTTGCTTAATGGGATCCAAAGTTTCAGCGCGTGCAGCCAGATGTGTCATGGCTTCCAAACCTAAATATCTGACGTTGGTCTCCCGGCTCTGGATAAATTTGCCCAGTCTCGTTGAAATCTGCTTCATCAGGCCATGTTCAGTGTCTAGGTGGATAATAAGGTTGATGGCTTCAAAGAGCACGGCATTTTGAGCGTTGTTCTGTTGAACGTTCTTATTCGTCTCCATAGCTAGGTTCAGGATCTTTTGCAAAGACTCGCGAATCATTTCCCGAACATGGGTGTCCTCTGAACATAGTGTCAGTACTGCTCCTGTGTAATTGCGCTCTCACACTTACCTGCAGGTGGGAAGTATTGCAGAAGTCGAAGCAACTTGATCTGCAGCCAGGGGCAGGGGACTTTGTAGTAAAGGTAGTCGGTCGTATACTCGCCGTCGATAAGAATTCGCTTCAGACGAGCTGCTGCTTTGGCATACGCTCCCTTGTATTGTTCGAGGTTATCTTGAGCTAATGTCATGACCAGTGATGTGACCGAAAGTGCAACACCAAGGTCAGAGTCATCCATAAGGTGGATAATGCGCTCCGCCCATTGCGGCGATACGATATCGGGGTGCTTGCGATATAATCGGAGGAGCGTCAGAGCGGCCTTCTTCTTGACGAACGACTTTGAAGTACTGCGTAACAGCGGTCAGTGGGGTTCCTTCCTAATAAAGGGGTATGAGCGCATACGGAGAAATCAGGAGCCTATGAACCTCTCCATTTAAAGCTTCACCCATTTCTCGACTTCCAACATTGGCAATCGCATGAAGAGCAAGACAATTGAAAAGCTCATTATGGTCCAGTAGGTCCTTTCGAATGCTGTTGACGACAAGGTGCAGAAGTTCGTGCTTCTCATGGAGAAAGAGTGTCATAGCCAGATATCCAATCTGCTTTTCCGAGTATTTATTTGCCGAGATCAGATTGACAGCCTCGAGGTGCCCAAAATCGACATTCCAGCCCAGGATATAAATATATAGCAGCTTGCAGACATATTTCTTCTTGTGGTAACCGCTGAGACTGCCGTCCTTGAACTTCTGTCGAATATTTGCCAGCTCCTTATTGATTCGCTTCTCCTCGAGTTCACGCGCTCTCGCATTTCTTAGATCAGCGATAAACTGAACCAATCCACGCATATTGGCATTGCTGCTACTCGAGCGGCCGAGGAAGCCTGAACCTGAGCTCGACATGCTGGGCGGTGGTATGCTAAGGTATTCGTGCGGTCAAGTCGCTGAAGACCCCTGATTTTTGGAACGAGACGGGGGGCAAGTCGGCTTAGATGGATTCGTCCGGTGGAAGGTGATGTCGAAATATCTCCAAGACAGAGTATGGTCGCGCCTTATCGCAAGAATCGCATAGTCAACTCGAATTGTCCAGACGGCTCACGCGCCAGACATCGATTGTATGTCGATGTGATGGGAGATTGCTCGCTGGAGGGGCGAGCTTGGCTGAAGATGCGGACGGAGATACGGTGGTGGGCGGTGCTTTGTTGGTGCGGCCTAATGGTTTAGTTAGGAGTTGCGGAAGAGGCCCGTGGGCTAGGGAACGGATGAGTCGGGGAATGACAAGGGCTATCACAGGCGAGAGGGGATTGTATTGAAAGCGTGTTGGTGATGAGAGAGCACTAGGGATTCCCTACAAAGAATGACACAGAAGGCCTCAAGAAAAGAAAAGATGCGATTATTGACAGCAAAATTGGTGGAAGAGGAGGTGAGAAGCGTGTTCATCTGTCATCCCATACCCAAGCCAGTAACTTCTAGCCTCTGAGAAGCCTCCTGTCTCCTGCCTCCTACGGGTGCAATAACGGCCAGAAAGGGTTTAACCGCTCATTGCTGCACATGGTCCGTGCTTTGTTCACTTTAACACTGCAGTCATTAGAGAGCTTCCATAGAGTCTATCAAATTCATCATGACTTCAATTGCATCAACACTTTAGGGTTATCGTTTTTCTATATAAACAAACCTCACATTTCCTTTCAAGTTCAAAGATAGCTTGATTGTATATAGTTCGCAATGTCATCTTGCGCAGTTTCACGATTGGCAATGCGTTGTAGTCTACGGACTTTGTCACAGCCAGCCAATCTCTATCGTCACATCTCAAATCAACGGTTCTATGCTGTTCAAGCTGCTGGAGCACCTCGTTTCCAAGTTTTCAATCGCCACACAAAATGGCTACAAAAGGAGCGAGCTGGTGTCAACTCTGAACAAAGTCGAGAGGCTGATTACCTCAAGGATGAGGTTGCAATCCGAGTATCAGAAAGACTTCTAGTGAGTAACCATGTCATTGAAGCAATACTCGTTTCTTACATATCCTTAGGACATTAAACGCAGATTTCCTCGAGTGTTAGATCTCGGCGCCAATTCATGCAATATCGCACGAGCTTTGGTCCAAGAAAATCCCGATCCTGACCCCAACACACCTGAGTCGCCACCACTGGCAACTCGTATTGACGAATTGGTTGCTGCTGATTCATCTCACTCACTACTTCACCGTGATGCTGATCATGAGTTCAACAAGAAGCTTAATATCACACGGACTGTTGTGGATGACGAAGAAACGATTCCTTTCGAGCCTGCTTCTTTTGACCTAGTTATGAGCTCACTAAGTCTCCATTGGATCAATGATCTGCCCGGTATTCTCACTCAGATCAACAATGTTCTCAAACCCGATTCTCCTTTCATCGGCGCCATGCTTGGTGGAGACACACTCTTCGAGTTGAGAACATCACTACAGCTGGCAGAGACAGAAAGACGAGGTGGCATGTCTCCTCGCGTCTCTCCTTTGGCTGATGTCAAGGATATAGGTGGTCTGCTTCAGAAAGCTGGCTTCAAGATGTTGACTGTTGATATCGATGATATCATTGTTGATTACCCTGACACATTTGCTTTGATGCAGGATCTTCAGGCTATGGGCGAGGGTAATGCTGTCCTCGGAAGGGAGATGGGTGCGATTTCCCGGGATGTTCTCCTCGCAGGTGATGCCATCTACAAGGAACTTCACGGTAACCCAGATGGATCTATTCCCGCGACTTTCCGAATCATATATATGATCGGATGGCGCGAGGGTGAAAATCAACCACAACCTCTGGCCAGGGGAAGTGGTGACATAAACTTGAAAGACGTCTTGGAGTAAAAACAGACGACAAATTATTTGTATGATGTAAATAATGTAACATCAGAGCTATGTTCCGCGGACGGGGTTTTACTCTGCGGCTTATGAATTGGGTTCATGATTCTATGTATTCTTGACCGCTCATCATCGCGAACACGTATCTGGCCCCTAAACCTTTCGCCAGTCGGTCATTGTTCGGCCGATACATCCCAGACCAGCGACCTCAACGACCTTCTCGTGCCAACTCAGGAGCACGCTCATGGCTGCTGTTGCGGGCTCGTTCGAGCCAGGTCGTCCGGCGATCTGGCTGAAACCTCCTGTCGATTGAGGTGTAACCTTGTTCGGTGATCGCGAAGCTGTTCCAGGGTGAACCGTGGCCATTCCCTTGTAGCTATTACATCGTTAGATTTGTGTACTTATTTGCCGTTCCATCATTGGACGTACATATACTTCATCAGGACATCCAAGCACTCAGAACCGCCCTCAGTTCCATAGATGCTTTTCAGCAAGGGGGACATGTCGCTTGCCTTAATCGACTGAAGGACCTCAATGATGGTATGCAAGTGAGCATCCTAAAGAGACACGTTATGTTAGATTCCACGTGTATAGAGCTATTGTACGCTGCCGACTCTCGACTCTCTGTTGACGTACCTTGGCGGCATCCGTTCCGTTGTATACTGGCGTCTCCAAGCTGCCCCTCAAAGCTCCCTCAGCATCACCGCCTCTCAGAAGCTGTCTGATCTGCCCAGAAAGCTGTCGCACTTCCGCCTCGTCGATCTCGGGCTGTGGGGGGTGCAGAGTTGAGGTGTCGAAATTGACGCTGGAGTCTTCGTTCAAGGCGTCGATGTTGATAGTGCGCCAGGCGTCACCGAGCGTCGCGCTCGTATGCTGCTGGATAATTGACATCTTGGTAATTCGGTATTATCAGCTCAGTGTTGGTGTTGGTGTTTGTCCGTGCGACTCGAAATGCTGGGAGTATTCCTGTATTAATTGGAAGCTATATCGGTGTCGGCGTGGATGGACGTTCAAGCTGCGTCAGCGATGGCGGGTGGAGGTGAGGCTGGAGTTGTGGCTTGTGGGATGGTTACTTGCCTGATCTGGAGCCCATGAGTACCCGATAGGAGGGTACCTGAACTTCAGCGGTGTGGCCCTGTTATAGCGGCCTGTATACTAGGAATACAGTGGACTTGAGCTGTCTTCCCAACGGCACAAGGTATTGCGCTATCTAAGAAGCTCTTCGTCAACGCTGATGCCTTTACCCTCACCATGCAGCACTCTTTGTATCGCTGCTGTGTAATGACTGATTATCTTGAGAAAATTGCGTCTTCGCATAAGGCATACCGGATCGCACATCATGATTTGGTTTGAGGTAAGCTTATTACGCGAGCAACCACTTTGGTAGATGCATTATGCTAGCATAACAACCGTAAGCGCATCTTCTTGAACCATACAATCTCCCAAGATAGACAGTAAACATACACTTGGAACAAATAGCACACCTCACAAGAATTACAGCTTCAAATCAAACAAGTTGATAACATAACGAGTAAGCGAATATTCAACATAAAGGAGATAGCCGTATAAAACAATAGAGTTAAATCGAATTTACCCTAAACCACGATGTTTGGAGGGCCGAAGAGCACCTTCCTTCCATTATGGTTAGAATGAAAGCCCAATGGACCTTCCAAAGAACGACAACCCGTAGGGACTTCCTAATTTCTCAAAAACACCAGGCTATCCTCTTTCAACCGACCGAAAAAGACTACTATTTGCAATAGTTTGGATCTGTTCTCTGAGATACTTCTATGACTCTGTGTGCACCACTTAACTACCACGGGCACTTACCCGGTACACCACCACTTGCTTAAGCGGCTGAAATAACCGCCTGACGGTTGTTCGGGAGACGCCGTGCCGCACAACATGCTTCCCCAGGCTGAGAAGTTTCCATGGTAGAAGTGTTAGGGGTCAGTCTGTTCGAGTCAGCTTATTGAGGCTCTGGCTCTTTCCAATCAATGATGCTGTTAGGCACGATAGCATCTCGATAAATATCATCATCCGGGAGCGTGGCGGGCGGAAGGCGATGGATCATTGCATCCATCCCATCAGAAGCTTGACTCGTGGCTTGCTTGGTCTATCGTTCGGGGAGCATACCCGGCTCGAACGACTCTTACACCACAACAAACGCTCCTCGCTGGCTTCATAGATCGTCCTTCCAGAAGCTTGCCTACCTTGTCTAGTCAAGAGAGGCCTCTCTTGTCCCCACACAAACAGTCCCAGGAACCATGGACTTTTGGGACGAAAATTTTGAAATTACCTGGCGGATCCGGCACGGACGCACTACGATTGCGGAAGCGGTTCCCCGGTGACACGAACACGATTCAATCAAGCAGAGAGGTCTGAATTGACAATAGAGAGGCTGGAAATGGGCAGCCACGAAGTCAGGTCACATCGGCAGAATGTTGATTATCTTTGAGTAGCACTGCGTGGTGTTGGTGTGAAAGGGTTGATCAAGGAAGCAAACACCCACAGCTTTACCCAGAAAACGGCAACCAAATATGACGTGTCAGCATGCTCGATACAGGCTCTTGGCAGGGTGTCTTCCCAAGTAAGACCCCAATTCTGATCTGCAACACTGTTCGTTGAGGCTTCTGGAAGGCAAGAAGCGATCATCCAGTTTAGCGCGTTCTTCAAAAACGAATATGCTTTGAATCCGATAGGTGGACTTTGATCATGCCCCACCATCTATGTTGCCAAGAAGGGTCTTAATCTCATCTTTGTCGCTGGCGGTACGTACTATAACGGCAACAAGCTGAGATACTGGTGACATTACCTCCTTGACTAACTGCAATAGTCTGGAACTGAATGTCGCTGGCTTGGACATGGCTGCCCGATCTACAAGCAGCTGCCGTGCTCGACAAGGCCAGTTGCGATAGTACGATGGGTTGAATCGATAGCACCATTCCTTGTGGCATCAAGTTGGTCTGAGCATACGATTACGACTTCATCGTGAGCCATGATAGTCATGTCCACACACGCGTGGTAGTCTCGTCCCATCATCATTTCTATAAAGTGGTGTGGCATACAAGCACCTTAGCCAGGGTTGCTTTGACGAATCTGGTATAAGGCTGCGAAAACAAAGGCCATCTTCACGTTGAGGGACAGGGCGGATCGAAAAAAGGCCCGGGAAAAGGGCTCACTTCAACACAGGCGACTTGCCCACGTCGCATGATATCTAACGGCTTCGAAAAAATTCCAAGAGGAAGGCATTGAGATGGCCGGAAGCCAAGCTAACTAACTGCCACATGGTGAGTGGAGGGCTTGCCAGTGTTGGTCAGAATCATTTCAGCTGATATTGGCAGGCTGGAATGGTCACATGATGTGCGAGCACCACAATTACATGTGGTGGTTGGCTTGAGAGTATCTAAACCGATCGACTGGTACAATCTGAGAGGTCCATCCATGGTAATGCGCCATGGGGATGCTTTTAGTGGTTGATGAAGACTGGAACAAGCAGCAAACAACCCCTGTTTCAAATGTCAATGGCGTTTGAAATTGGCTAATGCAGGAACGCCGAGGTTCTGGGGCTTCTATGCGGCGCTACCGTAATGCGCAAACCGCCACAACGTGTAGCTGGCCACGCTAATTCGGATGTGTGCAGCGATACCCCTGAACTTGCAGCACGGGAGTTGGCAGTTCATCCCAATCCACCAACATCCTCACAGCAGGAAGCTTCCAAAATTGCCCGGCAGGTGGAGCTAGGTCGAGAAGGAGCCTACTGAAGGACATTGCAAGAGATGACACGCCTCAAATCGCCCGTACAGTGTTCTATCACAACATGTCGCTACTGACACCGTGGAAAAGTATCTTGCAAAGAGTCCTCTGCTGTGAAGTTCCGCTGTTTGACAGGCTTCTGGAAGCTTTCCACGCAGCCCCATCGGCCCACTTTGACTTCAACAAATCGCCGCAAGAATCGTGGCTGCGATATTCTAGAAGGTCGTCGCAGATGTTTAAGCAAGCTCACTAACATTAAGCTGCGACAAAATACACGACACTTCGCAATGCTCGTGCTTATTCATGGGCGGTCGTGAAACTTGTAGCCTCTATCGTGGATTGTTGATAATGAGTCTCATGATACTCACATGGCTTCTCGGCGAATTATGGTGATATGGCACACAACATGAACCTGCCAACCTAAGGGACGTTGACCCAGTGTTAGGCGAGCCCGGCAATACTTCCGTTGCATTAAGTACGCATGGATGGGGCTTCTCGTGACGCATGGGTTTCCTAGGATTCAAAGACTTTACGACGTCTCATTTGGCAACAGTTGAATGTGAAACAGTTTTATACCTTGGTGCTCAATTCTTCTTGATAATTTCGCAAAAAAACACAAGACTGGGATGTTCAGAGGCAACAGATACTATCCCCGTTACTCACCAGAGCATCTCCAATCCACATGCGCGTACCACCACTGTGCAACGTTCGCTGTTGCCGCAGAAGGCCCAAGGCTTAACCAAGATACTGGTCAGCCGAGATGCCCCAGCGGTTCCGCGTCCTTGGGATTGGTATTCGGCATCATAGCGGGGTGGCATGATTTTGAGCTTGAGAAGCGGCAGTATCCTTTGGCTGAGGAACCTCCATCTTACAGGACAATATACTGTTCTGATACAAGGTGGTTACTCCAAAGATATCCGTTCTCGTCTTCGTTTGTTTCTCAACTACTATGTGCTTCCCGCACGTGAGCACGAAACTTGCGAGAGCTTGGGTACCCAAACTTGCCAGATACTAAACTAGGAGCATAACCTTGATGACGATTTGTCCTCTGGCCACCAAATCCAAGCTCGCTAGCCGGCCGGTGTGAAACCCACCAACTCGGAACCACATGGCTACGACTGAGCCCATCAATCCGTCACTAATTTTGGATCGCGCATAGTTCGAGATCAGGTCTCCGTGTACCTTAGGCAAGGACCACTTCATTTTGCCAAGTGACAGCTGTCACAAGAATCAATACCAACACATGGAAACAAACACGAAGGGCAAGAAGGCTTCAGTGTAGTTTCACATGCAGTAATGGGATTCACTCGTAACATGCATGATATATTTATAGCTTTGGATTTCAAGTCTTACAACTTGGAATTATTCGAAGAAGCGGCAAGTGATCAGAGAGCCAGTTGAGCTGCCCCTGGCACCATCTGACAAGATACTTATCAGCAAGCATCGACAGTACTCCATTTCTCGAGTCGTGTTTGCAATACTGAGATGGAGTTATGTACTACTGCAATACGTGGCTTTCAAGTCGAGAAATCATTCACTCCCAAAGGATGGCACAAGTGCGACAAAGGCTCCTATATGTGCCACTTGGTCTTATTGACGCATTATGCTGCTGCGCTCAACATTGCTTGGGCTTGGTTATGTCCCAGCAAGATGAGACAACGAGCGTGTGAGCTGTGAAGAACTTCTCGTTCTAAGCAGCATCAACTTTTATCAAGTGTAAAGTCTTCCCATCGGAGGAGCTTCTATAAGCAACAGAGGCCTAGAAAGGATTACGGAGGTTAAGAATTAGGATGCCCAATTCAACTTGCGCCGTGTCCATGGCGATTTTTTCCAGAGCCCCTACGGCGCAGAGTCTAACTGTATCAGATGGAAAGCAGGGACAAGAAACAAGTCAAACGTCAGGTTGCAACGGGAAATCAAACAGGCAGGATGGCAATTGCTGGAACAATCAAGCTGGGGTCTGGAGCTACGACGAAAGGGTACTGGGGGCACCGAGAGAATGGAGGACCCTGGCCATGTCATGGAAGAGGAGGCCGATTCGACAACTTCGTTCCTGACTAAAAAGGTACCCCATGATTTAGCAAGACTATATCACACAGTGCAGCAATACGGCCCTGAGTACCGTTTTGACGTTGATCACTGAGCTTGACGCCGGTCGCATCTCCTCCCAATTACCACCGACACGGATTGTCCTCGCAGGGCATTAGGGCTAGTTTTTGGGTCCACTACGGGGCGTCGGGAAACCATCGATTCTTTGAAGGGCTTGCCCGTCCATCGCAGTGTGCGCGTGGCTACCTGCCTTGCCTAGCAAAAGACGTTGGATGAAGAAGGTTTACTGGGAGCTATAAAGCACAAACATGGGTTACACACACCCATTTTGTGTGCCCTAGATTTGAAGCGGACTCTAACGGGCTGTCAACGTCACAATCAACGAGCTAACGCTCTAACGTGCCCAGTTACAGAAGGAGAGCACTGTTTCCTGCAAGAAGAGGATGTGGGTGCCTACCAAGGGATGAACGAGAGGATCTGGGGGTGTGGTGAGTGCATTGGAGTTGGGGTGTGAGAAACCGGTCTGAGAGGTCATGGCTAAGTTGCGACGACTTTCCAACCACCCGGAGACATTGCACGCCTTGCAGCAAAAAGCAGATCCCAGCGGCTTCCAACCCCTGCGACCCGGTGGCCTGGGTGTCCCAGAGAGGCGAGAGTGAGAGTCAATGTCGCTGTCAAAGTGAATGTACTGCAAGGTACAGATGGTATGCCCAATACATGGGTGGGTGCTGTTCGGATCAGCGCTTCTTGGGGAGTCATGGCCCTGGATGCCGGAAGGACTACTGGTTGAACCCATGCTGATAGCAAGCGAGAGAAGGTTGAGAGAAGCGCGCCCTGAGTTTTGGAAGTCTGAGCCCTCTCTTTGACCCTCATCAGCCACGGACGGATCCCTCGTGGAGACATGCATAGGCCCTGGAAGAAAAGCCATGAAACATGGTCCAGCCAGGTATCGCTCTGTTCTCTCCTTTTTTTGCTTTGGAACGATGGGGACGTGGCTCACAGTTTTTTGTCACCCCCTTCTGGTACGCCCCCCCTGCCCCTGGAGCGTGGGCCACTAGGGAAATTTCACAGCAATTTTGATGAGGTTCATTCTCAGGTAAGGTAATAATGATTGATTGACTGATTGACTGACTGAATGAACGGCACATTGAGGACACCCCTTGCCTGGTCTGGCTTTACGCTGCAAGCCTCGCCTTGTCATGGATGGGTATTGAGATTTTCCTTATTACTTCTTCCTCCGATGGGTGTGCTCTGTACAAAAGCGTCTTGCTTCCCACTTCCTCCCTCCATTCAGAACTTCACTTCACGTCTCCCTTTGGAACAAACTCCCTTTTAAGTCCTCTCAGCCGCCCACCTCACCTGCTCAAGACTTGTGTCCTCCTGCTTGATCCTCTTATACATCTCTGAGAGTGAATCACTTACACATACACACACACTTACTCACAATTAAGCGAACGATATCGACGACTTTGACTAGTTATAAAACTAGCCTAACTTGACGACTGGACACTCATCAGCAACCTCATCTCGCCTTGCCTCATTCATCAGGTCACATCACCTCTTGGAAGCAAGTCTAAGTCTCGAACTAGCCCAGGCCCAGGACCAGCAAAGAAAGGGAAACCCACACCCTCGTAATAATCGGCCCCGTCTGTCTGACCCACTCATTCGACCATCCGACCGGCGCCACTGCAGCGTGCCTTGTGCCTGAACTCAACTACGAGCTGAGAAAGCTACGCTACGCTACCGTATTACGGCAACGATCCGTCCATCCCCATCCCCATACCCATACATCCATCCCCTTGACGGAAAGCAAAGCTCGAGTCACCCCAAATAAAAAAAAGGTTTCCCCTTATTGGATCTTGTTCCTCATTTGGGTTGTTGCGCAAAAAGCATAACTTTCTCTCACATCCGCCCGGAACGAGCCCCCTTTTCTCTCGTTCACTCCTCAAGAGACGCACCTGTCCGCCCTTCGTTCATCTACAATACAATACCAATACGTCTGCGACATCATCTCTCGCTCGTGTTGCCTATTCCAACGTTCCGGTGTCGACGTCTCTCGCCAAACTCAACCATCACTCACCACCACTCCTTTACCTGTCCGAAACACGCTCCAATTATATTGGTGACCCTCGCATCTTGAATACCATTCGGCTTTCTGCTTCTCTGTCGCTTCAATCTTTTAGCCAATCCGCGCTCACATTCGCTCAATACCCTTTGTACTCTCTGTCGCACCACGACGAGTATTCCTTGTAAGTCAAAATCGCTTACCAAAATCACTTGAAGTTCTCGCGCTGGTGCCTGTCTTGGTCTTCCTTTGAGATACCGAGAACAATCTGCTTCCATCATTCCACTGTCCTATATATACACTTCCCATATCCTCCCGCCTTTCATATATATTACGCAGCTCCTTCACCCCACAGCATGACTGACCAGCAACACAGCAACAACATCTCATTCATTTACAAGTTCTCGCAACAACAGACAACATGATTGAAGGATCATCAACACCCTCTAACATGGGCCGAGGAGCCTACGACACAACCGGCTGCCCCAAGCCCCCGCCCCGCCCCAGACCTTCATAAGAGGCCATCTCGCTTGGATTGTTGGATAAACTCTACTTGTATCCCAACCTAATGCGACTGACGACCACGCCAAAGCCGGGCCACGCTGGCGGTTAGGCCTGTCCGGCGATGACACGACACTGCGACTGTACTGTTACAGACGCGCAATTCTCACTCTTCCGCCTGTCTTCTCTTCGACTTTCAGCGATTTTCTAATTACGACACCATTTTAATCACTTTCAGCAGTCAAGGAGCCGAACAACTCCTGGCTCTTAATGCGCTCCGGATACACTTTTTTAATACACATTCCTGTCGAAAACCATATACACAACGGCTCGGAGCCATCCCTTGCTTCCCAGCAGCAAGCGGAAATTTCAAGGGAAGGTCTTTTTTCTTGGGAACGAATGCACTCATTGATTTGAATGAGTGTCGATTTTCTTATTTTTCACACTTCTTGATTCGTGGCGACGCGAAGTTTGTTTTATCATATTGGGCTCAGCAACGCGGCGTTTGACCATAGACGGGAACCAAAAAACGGGATTTGTTTTATTTTCTTGTCTTCAGGGTTTCATCTTCACAGCAGCGTCCTTGTCGGCTCATGCCTCGAGTCGTCTTCGGTATCCACAATCTCTCCCTCGACAACCAATCTGAACCTACAGCACCCACTCACGTCAGGGCGTTCTGAGTCGGAATGCAGATCTGGTTGGGATGGGAATGTCTCAGATCGCCTCCACAGCGCAGTGCAGCACGACAAGGGTTGGCGAGCATACTTGGAGAGGAATTGCACGACCGAAACCGAGCAGAGACAACAGCGACAAGGAGGACCTGACTGAGCCAAGAGGATTGAATGCCACGAGGACATATTTTGGAGTTTAATTCATGTGAGGGTTTCGGATAAGGATCACAAAAACTGGGACCGGATGGGAAAAGATGTTCATTTTGCATATAGACTTGGGGGACTTTGTTTGCCTTTTTTGCTTTTTGTTTACTCCGTTTACTTTTGGTTCCCCCCTTGCTTACACAGTTTTCCATCTGGCCAGCTTCTCTCGTTTCTTTTTTCTATTGTTACTTTTTATTATTACTGGATTGGAGAGCTGTTTGGTCTGGGCTCCCTCACGGGAAGGCCAATAGCAGAGGGATATGTTGCTGTATTCCCATGTACTATTTCTGTATTGGTGTACAAGACAAGGCAAAGACTATTGGATGGGGATTGAGGAGGGGGAAGAGGAAAGCGATACGATGCTCTGGCCGTGTTGAGAGCACTTGGGCTGGACTCAGGATTGATAGAAGAAGATACCCCCTACTACGCGCTTCCCCCCTCGAAGCCTCTATACTGTATAGTATTTTTTATAGGACGAAAGACATTCAGCTACACAGCGCACGGAGACTACGAGGAGAGAAATACAAATAATGGAAATACTCAATAATTATCATTGGCTTTGGATGCAACATGTGACGTGAAGAGAATGAATGTGTATGTATGGCAAGAAATCTATTTTGAGTATGGGCTTAAGATAATAGTTGGAGGAGTTGTCGTATACTCGCAGCGTTTACCTCGTTAGGGAACGTCGAGGCGAGAAGAAGATGGAAATCACTTGGTTGAGAGAGTGTTTGCTATGCTCGAAGCCGTAGTTTGTGTGACGAGCGGGTGATGACGAACCGGGGAGAAGATCCCGAGGATTTGGGGAACATTTGTTTGCTACCTGATATACGTATGCACATTGAAATACACAGTAAAGTAACGTACGCACAGAACTTTGGGAACATCAGACAATAACTTTTCTTAGTATTACCAAGGGAACAATAACTACGTGTTTATTACAGAAAGAGATTGGTTTGGGTGACGCGCGCGTACAAAGTATCCATCCATGCATGGTAAGGTATACTTGGGCTGGAATGTGATGGATGTCTACGTTTTAGAATGGGATGGTAGCTTTACTAGGGAATGAATGGCCAATACTCTAAGGTAGAGAGACTGGCTTGAATACGAAGAAACAGTCTAGTCTAGAATTGTACCAATGTGGTCTATCGGGAAGGAGAGTAAAACGTGTGTAATAACACGTTAATTAAAATGTAATTAATGGATTGGATGTCACTGTAAGTGCTACAAGGTTGAGGCATCGTTGTTGGGTTAATACCTTCCTTACCTTGGGCAATTTAGCATAAACGCGCCTCGTGCGAGATTATGACAACAAGGGGCCAGCATTAACATTTACGGCAGAGACGAGTCAGTAAAATGTTGCCTAAAAGGTTCTGAAAATTACCACCCAAAAATACATACTTTTTCTGTCGAAACAAGGTCCGACCTTGGTTTCGGCGCTTGGGCAATGGTAGCTCGTTAATTGACTTTTAGGGGGAGCCTTGACACGCAATGATTCAGCTATGATGACAATGGGAGGGAGGGCTATGGATGGCTGATTCCGGCGCTTGAAAAGTCAAAGCAAGAGAGTCAAGAATCAGAGGGAGAAGACGACCACATTATTTCGTCATAATCAGGGGGGAAAGAGTTGTGGGATGGCGGTTAAGTTTTGGTGATAGAGATCCGTGCCCTGCAGGCGTTTGAATGTCGCCCGTTTTATAACCGTAAGAGTAGAGCAGATGTTTGTGGTCAAGTCTCAGGTGATATCTGTCGGTTGGACAGAGGAGACACGAAAACGAATACATCAACGACAAGATCTGAAGAGATAAGGCAGAGCAGGCATCACGAGATGAGATACAAGTCCAGATTGAAATATGGGCTAATGGAGGCTGCTTAACATGCCACTCACTAAATTCAGTAAGAAATCACAAGTTCAACCAAGACTCGCGCTCGGTGACACAAGCGGAAGCAGACGCAGATGATGACCAGCCGAGGCTGATTCGTTCAAAGTACAGTATCCGTACCTTACAGGCGAGAACCCGTCTCACAACACATGCAGTACTTGTCGAACAATCAATTGATGTCTTGTCTCGGTAACTAACTAAAAAAAAAACCGACGTCGGTGGCCGGGGTACAGATACGAGTCGCAACGAGACAACAAAAGAAGCAACTCACGAGAGAAGAGTCTCGATTGATTGGACTGGATCGACAGTTTGTTCATGAAGTGGCTGATGACGAGAATAGAAAAGTTTGCGTTTGAATATGAACACAAACAGTGGAGAGTAACATATCAGATCTCAACCGAGAAAACAATCAGGTATTATACTGTTTGACTCAGAAGAAGCAATGATGATGAAGGAGAGAACAAAGCCGACAGCCATTGAATGATAAACAAAACAATTACGGCCCAACAAGACGAGACAAAAAGGTTAATTACAGTACCTTGCATAAAGTGGATGCATGAGGCGTCATATGATAAAACAGATTCACTCAGTAAAAAAAGAAAGAATGACTGAGAAAAGAAAGCAACCTTCCAGAGCGACACCAGAAGCAAAGACAAGAAAAGACGTTATTTCTTCTTTTTTTCTCTTTCTTTTTTAGTCTGCGCCATGAATAATAAGTGAGCTATTCACTAAACAACTCAGCTAATAAAGGATGCTAAAAAAGAATTTAAGTCGACTAACCCCTGAAAATGATAAATAGGCTAATGCAAGATGACATTGACAGCTTCCTGCTTTAGGCTGGGGTACAGAACCTTTCTCATCCCAAGTCTGCGTCATGTACCTGTACGTACCGATTGTACATGAGCCTTTACTGCCTTGGTCATGGTGAAACCGGGCTAATGCAGCCTGGCTCCCGGGACCGACGCGTTGGGAAGGTGAGGTGGAGAATGGCATTTCTACAGGCAGGTGCAGAAAGAAGAAGCAGAAGCGAAAGGAAGGTACAAGGGAGGGAGGGCGTGAGACGAAAGAAAAAATACGGGAAGGAAAAAGGAAGGAAAGAAAGAAAAATGAAAGAACGTACTGTACATATTAATTAATCAAAGAGGCGAGACGGGAATCTTGCATGGACATGGAACATCGACAAGGAAGGAATAGGGACAGGGGATAAGGGGTGTGTCCCTAACACATACACAGTATCCATATTCATAGCACCTCATGCTTGGTGATGGTATCAATCAAGTGGATACATCAAAGCGTTTGGCTAGGTTTGTTTCTTCTGCGACTTTGGAAAGGGTGAGGCTGTATCATTCAACCTCAAAGGTCAAGGGCAACAGAAAGCAGAAAAACTTAGTCAAAACACAGACTAGGGATACAATACGATAAAGACTAGTCCTAACCAAAGACAAGGTTAAGTTAATGATCGCGATGGATGGTCTACCCAAAAACTATCACTCGGCATATGCTTCCGTTACAACCGCATTGGGTACTAAGACAGCCACTTCAACATCTTAGGTTCAATAGTATTAGCCAGGTAAACATGATGCAAGACACCTGTATTTGCATATGCTATAGAACAAATCAGCCTTGCGTTACAGCGCGTATCATCCTCAACGGAATACCGTCCCGAAGTACCTTCTCCAAAACCAAAACCAACACGCAACAAAAATAAAAACAAGCGTTTCACAACGAGACTGAAGAATGAGAATTTTTTTTTGCTTCTCTCTACCGAACCCAGCAACTTGGTAACATCGATACCTAGGCTGCAACGTCGCAGCGCTAAGCGTAAACACCAAGAGCTGAGACCACGATATTCTCCTAGTACACTTCTGTAGCGAAGGGGGCTCGTGCAAGAAGGAAGAGAAAACTTCTTTTCTGCTTCTATGGAGACATGTCGAACCGAGGCTACGGTATCTGTGTACAGTATCCCCAGAAGTGGACATGGCCAAAGTTGACAGATCTTCATCTCGGCATTGTTTTTTTCTTCCTCTTCATGTTCTTCTCACGTTACAAACAAACCCATATCCATGCTATATATATCCTTACCCATGTTATATATGTAATCCATGTTTTACGAAAGAAGAAAAGTCTAAACAAAATGGTTCCTGTAACTGGGCGTTCTTTTCAGCCTGTCTTCTTCTCACCCTTGTTCTTCTACCGTTCGCCTAGGCAGTTCGTCTCTGCCAGGTTTACATAGCATGGATATGGTCATGTGTCTTTCGGAACAAGATACCCTTGCTTGCCGTCCCAGCCACCCGGGACTTATTGATGTACAGTGCAGTACCGATCCATTCTGTCGGTCCTGATTCTTACGGGGCTGAGTTTGGTTTCTTTGGTCATGGCCAATCTCTCTTGTACGGGAGCTGGGGATGTGATTCCCCGTGTCTTCGGCGACTGCCGTACTCTAGAAGGGCCCAAGCCTCCAGCCTCAAGGGATATGATATCGCTTGAGCCTCAGGTGGCAATAACTTGGTGGACAGCTCCTCGCATGCTAAACCGCAATGGTCGACCGGTGGAAATCTTAATATACTTGTCTCACTTCAGGCTCTCAGGGTTCATAACGGTTTGATTAAGGTATTCTTTAGAATCAGATTAGATCTTCGGTTAATTGTTTCTGCATGCGGCCTGATTCAGTGGACAGTTAGAGAGACTGCAATGCTCATGCTTTAAGCATTTTATGTTCATATTTTAAAAACATAAGTTGCATTGACTATGAAGAAACTCGGAATAACAGCTGAACAGTGGTCGAATAATTGTGTAGTATGAATATCACTGAGTATAGTATGGTATTGCTTCGTGGACTGAGCCGTATCTTGATTGCAGCCCTTTAGCATCAGATGATAGTACTATGAAGTCCGTATCCATGCCACCTTGTAGAACCACTATCAATAACCTGAACTTTTGGTAAATGCTGACATAAAGGCTTAGCTCTTCCTTCCACTTGCTGGTTCCGATCTTGAATCGAAATATGTTCTCTGTGATGTTATACGCTTGCACAGTCCATCTGTCTTGATTACAACTCAGGATAAACATCACTATAACCATTAGCATAGAACCACAACTGACAAATCAACTCACATTCGCCTCTGAAGAGGCATCTCCCTCCTAACCTTCTCTAAATGCTCAAGGTCGATATTAACAAACCCAATCTCACCCTCCGCACCATCTTCAGCAATCCCCTGAGGCTCTCCCTCTTGCACGCCCTTCAACTTCAGGACAACATTCCCCCATGGATCAGCAACAATACTCTGTCCCCAACTGGCTCGTTTCTCATTATGTCTTCCAACTTGTGCCGCTGCAATGACATAGCTCTGTGTCTCAATGGCCCTGGCGCGGAGAAGAGTCTCCCAATGTGCTGCACCTGTTCGAAGGGTAAATGCACTTGGGTATGTGATGATCTGTGCTGGCTTGTTCTTCCATGCGCTGTGAGGTCCTGGTTGTGCGAGTGCTAAGCCTGCCTCTGGGAATCGTAAGTCGAAGCAGATGAGGCTTCCGATGCGACCTATGGGGGAGCCAAACGGTGCTGTAAGACTTGATCCAGGCTGCACTGTTGCACTCTCCTTTAGATTACCATAGTCAAACACATGAAGCTTATCATATGTTGCTGCATCGTTTATGTCTCCATTGGCCGTGATATACAACGCCCGGTTAAGAATCCTCTTCGATTGGTCTTGCCCTTCTTCACGATGGTGAATACCCACATGAATAGCGACATTGTGCTCGCGGGCTGCCTCCTGAAGACCCTTTACGAAAGGGGACGTTGACTGCGGCTCTGCAAGTTGTAGTGATGTTTGCCCATCTGGGGCGATATAGTCCGAAGCCTCAGGGAGGAAGAGTACCTAACATCATTGCATGTAAGTATACCGTGCGCACAAAATCAAAAGCCACCTGAAGAGAAGTATCGCCGTTTTGGGTATACAATGAGACATATTCCCAACCAACGTAAAGAGGTCTCACAGCTTGGGCCTTGATCATGTCTCACGGTTCCACGAACCGACTGACCCCTTCGACTCCAGATCATGTGTCTCCTTACGACAACTGACAAGTCGAATCGCTAGTGTCCATCTCGATCGAGGAATGTAGAGATCCCTCGAGGCTAGACACTCGTCCATGCCCAACAAAAGCCAACGAGAATCAACTCACTTTTGCTTGACCCTGCGCCGCACTCGCCACCAACTTGACACATTGTTCCAGATTACCCTTGATCGACGCCGTTGAGCAGATCTGGCCGATTGCCTAGGCCCATACCGTTAGATAGTTCATACTGGCTTGAAGCAAGGGATCTCCAGATAGAGCAAGACTAGAGTGAGGAACTCTGGGAACCAACCGCGATTTCCATGATGATCGCCTCCCGTATCGCCAAGAACACGAATCCTCCCGAACGGGTATGAGATCTAGTTATTGGGTGCTTAATTAGTCTCTCATTCTCCCTTGTGGCTGTGACTGAATGGGGAAGTACTTGGAGACGTGAGGGTGTGTTTGTCTCGAACTAAACAGAATGTGGCGTTGTCTCTGTTTCTTTGTGACAGGTCGCTCTGGACCCTTTTAAGGAATCAATTAAATTGTAAATACAAAAAGAATCGACTCTTTTTCAATTGTTGATGATGAAGGGAGGGGAAATGGCGATTCCGCAATAGTTGATAGTCCCACTTTTCTAAGCACATCAGACAGACGAAGCATTTGTAATTGACTGTCACTATCTATCACAAAGGTCAAAGAGCCATTTCTCCCTTGATTCAACATAGGAATGTTTTCGTCACCCAACACCATCAAATACTCATCACGAGATCAACTTAAAGTTAAACTTCAGCTCCAAGTCAAGTCTAGTTAAGTCAAGTTCATAGGGATCTGTTCTTTCATCTCTCCCTAGACTTTTCTCCCCTTCCCTTCCCTTCTCAAACAATAGCCCTTTTTGCTGAGCTCCAAGCTTTAGCAAAGTCGGGTGAAAATGGCTGAAAGAAAGGCCTAAGAAATACATGGCGCACCCATATCCCTATGGTGTACGCCTAAACAGCATTGATGAATTCCCTCAGTCTCAAAAGAATCCTCATCCTTCATGCCTTGAAGTCTCTCCCCTCCCTCATCTGATTTCCTGCAGTGCATGCAAAAAAAAAAGGACTGCCTTTCCCCAAGTCATGCCTTTAGTAAAAAAAAACATAAAACGCCGTGCTAAGTAATATCAAGCCATGCACGCTGCGCAGGGTATCTTCTTCCACTAGCTGATCATCCCTAGCCCTGGCCGAGTGTCACGAATTCTCATCTACCCTCTCCCCTATCCCATTACCTCGCCGTATTTTGATAGTTATAGTATGTTGTGCTGTGCTTATTTGGGGTTCGATGCGTCCAGATAAAGGTACGCTTTTTGAAGCGCCTTGCCTTCTCTTCCATCCCTTTCTAATACCGAGACCCAATCGCGAAGTTGAATATTTCGTCCTTTTTCTTTATCCTCTCTCCATGTGCCAAGTCGGTTGCGGCCCTCGGTAGTCATGGCCATGTTTGCAGGTGCCGGCGCCGCTCCCAGTCCTCCGGGCCCTCTTCCGGCACCCGGAACGTTTCTGGTCGGCGTGCTGGTTCCGCTGCCTCCGCGTCCAACATTCATCCAGTCGTACGTCTTTCCCGTCTTCTTTTTACCGAAAAGTCCACCCTTGCCTCCGAGGCCGGCAAAGATGCTACTCGTGGTGTTTTGACTCTGATGACTGTCAATCTCAGCAGCCTTCATCTGCTGGTTCTTCTTCATCTCCTTCTTCGTCATTGCCTTTGGAGCTTCTGGCACTGCAGTACCAGGAGTGCCAGGCGCTACGCTACCAGAACGCGATGTCGTGGTCCCCGAGTCTGGTATACCATCCTTGCGTTTTTGACGTTTGCGGAGTCGTGCCTCTTCCCAGTCACGCTCCTGTCTAGCAAGGTCCCGCATCGTCGTTGTCATATACGATGACACTTTAGGTAGCTTGACTGGAGGCGCGCCGTTTGTCAATCCAGCTGCATCGCTAGAGCCTGTAGAGTGTAAGTAAAAACTGAATACGTACTGCCGGTTCTACTTACGCTTCAATGGATTCGTGCTATCCTCGTTCGCACTCTCCACAGAGGTTCCGTCGACACCGTTTACTGCATCCGCTGGCTTCTCAATGGGCTCTAGAGGCTCAGCATTCATAGGAGCTGCCGCTGGAGCCCACTCCTCAGGTATATCGCCGTGAGATGTCTTTTGCCTGTTCGTTGCCACTACATGTGCATCCTCCACTAATTCTCGAAGCCGCTGCTTCGTGGCAATAGACATCAATGCCAATTGATCGACTAGGAAAGCATCATGTGGTATGTATGAGCCTGTTGTATTAACCATGGTCGAATCTGGGCCTGGCGTCACTTTAACAGTCACCTTTGGCGCAGGAAATTGTTCCGGAAGTCTCATCTTCCCCATCGTTTGACTGTTGTTCTTCAGATCCAAGTTCAGTGCCAGGTGATGTTCTCGTGCGATCTTATCCGCGCGTCGATGCAGCAAGGCGACCAGCAAAAAAGGATCGCTTATCTCCTGTGTCCGCTGAAGTGCAAGTCGCATCGACGACTCTGACCAAGCCCTCTCAGCTTGCTGTGCAGCAAACTGATCCTGTGGTTGATCCGGAACAGACTGAGCCGGCTGGTTTGCTGGCCCCGCACCGTAGAAGCTCGACTTTGGCCCTGGTTGCTGGTGAGCAAAACCTGTCCGTGATTCGTCGAAACCGGTCGCGTAGAGGTCGTTCATATACTGTTCCTCAGCTCGAAGATCGATGCCAGTACCAGCAAGTGAATCTGTCACATCGTATTCGTAGTCCTTGGTCGGTCGCTCTGCTGGCCTTTGCGGAGGTCCCATTACGCCAGGGCCGGGAGTTGGGGTCATTAGCTGACCAGGAGTAGGTACAGGAACAGGTGTCATCGTGGCATTAGTATATTGAGGAATAGGCTGCTGTAACTGCTGAGCCTGCTGAATTGGAGGTGTCGAATTCGGCCGTACGTCTGGGAGATTAAGACCAGGCGTTGTGTGTCCGTTGGTGTAGGGCGTGGCATACGGTTGCGGCAGAGCAGGGCTTTGCGCAAACGCAGGAGATCCTGCCCCAGCAGGCGGCGTAGCTGTAGTGCCTGGAGTAGCGCCTGGACTCGCAGCGTAGGGGGATGTAGCATATGGCGATTCGGGTTGCGAGGAGGGACCGTCGGTTCGAGCTCGTTTCTGCGGTGGGAGGGCGAAGCTGGACTGCGACGCGGCAGGCGAGGGTGAATGCTGCGGCGGAGAGAACGCGCGAGGCGGCACCTGCATCTGCGTCTGAGGCTGAGGTTGAGCCATGATGAGTTTGCCTATTCGTGATTGCTTTGTCGGTCGAGAAGCGAGCCAAGGTCGAGAATTAGAGAAAGTTAGAAGAATGCGTGAGTTGAGTGTGTTAGCTCAGCAGGCAGATGAGCCTGTCAAATCAATCGCGACGCCTCCCATCCGACGCGCTTAATCTCGGCGGGGCACTCGGAAAAGCTGTAAAAATGTTCGGTAGGTGAGAGATTCGCTATCAGAAAGCGCTCAACCTTCGTTTCGAGATGGAGGCGCTGGATATCGTCGTTGGGTGAAGGTGTTAACTCGCTGGGGGTTGGCTATGAAGGAGGCAGCTTCGCCTGTAAAACGGAGGTCGCGTAGTTTTAACGTCACGTGCGCAGAGCCTCCTCCCGTAAAATACCTTACGTACATAGCCGTCCACAAGGTAGCAACTACCTAAAGCAAGCTCCCGTGAAATAAACGCCGGCTTTTATCCGTTCATTATTCAAAGAAACGCGTCTGCCTCTCTTTTTGCCCGTGCTGCCCGCCTATTTCATTCATTCATTCATTCATTCATTAATTGATATAGTGATCTAATCATCTCTTTGTTATCCCTGCAGCCAGTTGCTATCATAAGCTGTGAGCAGCAGCCTTATCGGAGAGCCTGCGGCCCAAGGCTGCTTCTACTATTAATCTATATAGAACCTCGCCGTCGAATGTGAGCTGGACCATAGCTCGGCGCATCTACAACAATGGCATCCAAACGAAAGGCTTCTGCCATGAACGCGGCTGCGACGGAAGAGCCAGTAGATCCTTCAGATGAACTTATGTTTCTTTGCCTAGGAGGAGGAAACGAAGTCGGAAGGTCATGTCATATTATTCAATACAAGGGAAAGACGGTCATGGTAAGAGAGAGGTCGATAAGTCTATCGCATACTAGTCTAATGCCCTTTACCAGCTTGACGCCGGTCAACATCCCGCATACGATGGACTCGCTGCTCTGCCCTTCTACGACGATTTCGATCTTAGCACTGTCGACGTGCTCCTCATAAGCCAGTAAGCGACCCCCTCTTCCCACTCCCGCGACGATGTACATAGGCTGGACAGGGCGAGGGACGACCTTGTGTTTTGATATTATGTGATGTGATGGAACAGATGGTACAGAACCGCATCGTATTGCGCTGTGCTGTCGCAGCCTGTATCGTGCTCGCGTGATGACGATCTCCACGACTTTGCTTTCTTGTATGCCAGATCAATACAATACAGTTTGCCCGTTTTCCTTACCTTACGCCCTTGCTGTTCGTCCTTGTGATGCCGTCCTGTCCTGAATCGCCAGTCGCCAATATCATCTCTGGATAGCCAGATGCGATCAGAGGATTCCAGCTAATCAGCCATAGTTTTCACATCGACCATGCAGCATCTTTACCATATGTTCTCGCAAAGACGAACTTCAGGGGTCGTGTCTTCATGACACATCCCACAAAGGCCATCTACAAGTGGCTTATTCAGGACAGTGTTCGAGTGGGCAACACCTCATCGAATCCTACTACACAGCCAGTTTATACTGAGCAAGACCATCTAAACACATTTCCTCAGATCGAGGCCATCGACTACCACACAACTCATACTATTTCCTCCATCAGAATCACCCCTTATCCTGCTGGCCATGTTCTTGGTGCTGCCATGTTCCTTATTGAGATTGCCGGCCTCAACATCTTCTTCACAGGTGACTACTCTCGCGAACAAGATCGACATTTGGTTTCAGCAGAGGTCCCTAAGGGTGTGAAGATTGATGTTCTCATCACTGAATCCACCTACGGCATTGCTTCTCACGTCCCTCGCCTCGAGAGAGAACAGGCCCTCATGAAGTCCATCACAAGTATCCTCAACCGAGGCGGTCGTGTCCTCATGCCAGTCTTTGCCCTTGGGCGAGCTCAGGAGCTACTCTTGATTCTCGACGAGTACTGGGGCAAGCATGCTGACTTCCAGAAGTACCCCATCTATTATGCCAGTAACCTTGCCAGGAAGTGTATGCTTATCTACCAGACCTACGTTGGTGCCATGAACGACAATATCAAGCGCTTGTTCCGCGAGCGAATGGCCGAGGCCGAGGCATCTGGTGATGGAGCAGGTAAGGGTGGACCGTGGGACTTCAAGTACATTCGCTCTCTCAAGAACCTGGACAGGTTTGACGATGTTGGCGGCTGTGTTATGCTTGCCAGTCCTGGTATGCTTCAGAACGGTGTCAGTCGTGAACTACTAGAGCGGTGGGCGCCCAGCGAGAAGAACGGTGTTATCATCACGGGTTACAGTGTCGAAGGCACAATGGCTAAGCAGA